TAGGCTACCAGTCGGTGGGAGACCGGGCCATCACATCCCTGGTGACAGATCCATCCCACACGGCAGCGGACCTAATTCCATGCTGGATCCCAGCAGCTTAAACTGTCAGCCTCCAAGGGCCCATCTTTCTAGGACTTCTCACGTAGCAGGAGGCCGTGGGGGGGGGGGGGTTGGTGGAGAGAGCTGCTGTTTTCACCTGGCTGCTCCTCTCCCTGAGCCTCCGTGTCCCCCTCGATGTCTGCAGTTCCTCGGTGTGTTCATTATTCACGCATGCATTCGTGTTTATCACAAGCCTATGTGTTCCAGGCTCCATACTGAACGCTAGGGACGAAGGCAGGAATAGGACAGAGACCACGCTTGCCTCCCTCCGAATGGGGGAACATGCGCATTTAAACAAATGAGATAAGCGCATCTCCCTTTCCTCCTCCCTCTCCTTCAGGGTTCTGCCAGCTCCCTCTCTCCTCCAGAGCCTGTTGACAGGAGAGGCAGCGTGGGGCCAAACAGATCAGCACTGCAGCCTGGGGGCGCCCTCCCACACAGGCCCTGCCCCTTTGCACGCACCTGTGAGCCCACATCTCGGTCAGAAGGCGGGCAGGGACCATGTGCCCTGTTCAGATGAGGAAGCCCACCCCTGGTCACATAGGGCACTGCTGGCAAAACCGAGGTTGGGCGCTTGTTATACGCAGGCGTTTCTGAAACTGTCTGCCTCATGACGACACAGCAAGGTGGATGCTCTTTTCCCCTTTCTTTCTTTTTTATTTTTAAGATTTATTTATTTATCTGAAAGTCAGAGTTACACAGTAGAGAGAAGGAGAGGCAGAGAGAGAGGTCTTCTATCCACTGGTTCACTCCCCAGTTGGCCTCAATGGCTGGAGCTGCACCAATCAGAAGCTGGGATACAGGAGCTTCTTCTGGTCTCCCATGCAGGTGCAGGGGCCCCAGGACTTGGTCCATCTTCTACTGCTTTCCCAGGCCACAGCAGAGAGCTAGATTGGAAGTGGAGCAGCTGAGACTCGAACCGGTGCCCATATGGGATGCTGGCGCTGCAGGTGGCGGCTTTACCCACTACACCATAGTGCTGGCCCCTCTTTTCCCCTTTTCTACAGGTGGAATAATAAAAGCTAACAAAGGTCATGGAGTCAGCCCTTGATGATCCAGATAGCATGCGGTACAGCTGGGATTTGAACCCGGCTCTGCAACGGACACAACCACAGATGAAACTTTCTCTGAGTAGCTTAAGCAGAGAGGCGACTTCCAAATGCCCTTCAAAGTCTCAGCCCCGGCATCCTATTCACTGAGGTTGCTGCTCAGGTTCTTGGCACAATAGGCTCATAAAACGTGGTCAGTTAGCCAGGGTAATCCACATATATAACCTGCTTACCTATCCATCCAGGGGCACCTCTGTCTTTCTCGGGTTTTTATTTTCCTTTGCTCACACACAGAGCAAACACTGAGCGCTCCCACTAAGTGCTGGAGAGGCTTGGTGGAGGTGGGGAGGGTGGTCCATCTCCTACAGGGGAGTTCTCTGAAGACCCTTCTGTGGGCAAAGCGCAGCGAGAGCGGAGGAGGGGACCAAAACCTGGCCACCAGAGAGCCTCCCTGAGGCACACGACACTTTGAGCCTGTGGTGCAATTTTTTTTTTAAAGTTTTTATTTATCCTAAAGTCAGAATTACAGAGAGAGGGAGAGACGGAGAGAGAGATTGTCTAACCACTGGTTCACTCCCCAGATGGCCACAATGGCTAAGGCTGGGCCAGGTCGAAGCCAGGAGCCAGGATCTCCTTCCAGGTCTCCCACATGGGTGCAGGGGCCCAAGCGCTTGAGCCATCCTCCACTGCTTTTCCAGGCCATCGGCAGGGAGCTGGGTCAGAAGTGGAGCAGCTGGGACTCGAACCAGCATCTAAGTAGGAGGTCACATCGTGGGCTGTGGCTTTACGTGCTGTGCCACGATGCTGGCCCTGTGGTGCCTTTTTAGAGTTCCACCTTGTGGTGGTCCCTGTGGGTCTAGTACCACACAACCTGGCGGTCTTCATGCAGCTTGGAAGGAAGCCTTTGATGGGAGAAGGTGCTGGGAGAACAGAGATGCGTAAAGAAGGAACTAGATTTATCCCTCCTCGCACACCCAGCAGCTACTGTCCTTGACGCTCGACTGTCCTCCAATGACGACTTGTTTAACCAGAATATTCTCCTGAGGGTGGCCAAAGAGAGAGAAAGGATGAGAAGCGAGAGACAGAGACTCAGAGAGACAGAATCTGCATGCAAAGATGCACACAGAGACCCAGAGATGCAGACACAATGTTACCCCGTGCTCTGCAGCCCCGGGACAGCAGGGATTGAGTTTTGCACGAGGCCCGAGACTGGGAGGAGTCAGACATCCCCTGCCTCCTCCTTCCCTGGCCACACGATGCTGGTGGAAGCACGGCCCGTTTCCAGGGCAGATGTGAGCACCTTGTGGGAATGGCCACACGATTCCCATGATTGTGGCTGCCGCTCTGTCCCGGTTACTCATCACCGCCCTGGAGACTTGAGAGTCAACCATAAATGAGTAATACACAAAAGCCACACGTAAAGGCAGCATCGCCAGATCCTACGTACGCGTGCCTTGGCCCCTGGCACGCCCGCTTCTAGGAATCCACTCTAAGAAAAACAGTTAAGGACATGGGCAAAGAATTTAGAGGGAGTCTTTCCACAGCCGCATTCCTTTAAAAAGCGAGCAAGGAAGCACAATTTTTGCCCCATCCCTATAGAGGACCTCTAATAAATAATGATATCCCCTAACAATAATCTCAAATTCTACTTTGAAAATTAGCTTGTGAAGGGGGATTTATTGACTGTGCAAGACACATTAGGTGAAAACAGTAAGTCACACATATTGTATAAATAGGATTCCCTCTAAGTAAGAATAAAAAAAAAAAAAGTCTAAAAAAGAAAATACATATATAAAGTCGAAAAAGATCAAATGATAACCTTCGGGTGGAAGACATCCAAGCCGGTTTTTTTCTCTTTTTGCTTATCTGCATCTTTAAAACTTACTTCCTTCACGATGTGCGTGTGTAATAAGAACAGATGTCCGTGCCTCCATCCCCACGGGCCTCCTGGTGGAAGTGCAGGTGCTTCGGGGAGGCTGAATCCTGTGCTCCCCGCCCGAGGCACGGGGAGAGGCCCCTGCCCTTTGCCAGGCTCAGGCTCAGGCTCGAGGCACGGGGAGAGGCCCCTGCCCTTTGCCAGGCTCAGGCTGCTCGTTAAGAATTGCAAAAACTGCGTGTCGGTGCCCCAGTTCAACTCCTCTTCCCAGCTGCTCTTGCAGGCGGGACCTTGGTGACCCAACACCTTGGTATTCATTGCTCGGTTGCTTCAGCGCCTGCTAGTAGGCTGGCCGCCACCCTCCCTGGAGGGCAAGCGCTGTCTACACACCTGGGCTGATGCGAAAGCTGACCTTGCTGAAACTGCAGGGCCTTCCTGCTGGGCCTTCCCGCCTCCCAGAGGCACCTGCCTGCCAGCAGGGTCAGGTTGGGCCCCTCTACTCAGAGGCAGGTGCAATCCTGAATGCTGGCGAGAAGAGGCCGTCACCATGGCAACCCAGGCTCGTTCAGCCTCTTCAGCCCCGGGCTCAAGTCCAAACCTCAGGGAAAGAAGGTGATGGCTGGAGCCACAGAAAGGGCTGCCTGGCCCTCTGATGTCAGACGACGCCCTGGGCTTTTCTCTGCCAGAGTTTCCACATCTGTACAATGTCCTGAAATGGCTTGTCTCCACCCCACCCCCACGCCCGACCAGGACCAGTGTAGAATCATCTGTGAACTGTAAAAATGAGAGGAAGAGAGTATTCCACACCAGCTTGCTGGTGTGCGATTTTGGGGCAAATCACATGGCGTGAGGATGGCCTCGGTGGCTGTTTTGAAAGGGAGAGTAAGGCACACAGGGATCTCTTCCCAGATACGCAGCAAGGCGCTGTGAGAATCCCAGAACCTCAGAGATGGGAGGGCATGCTAGTCCCAACCACCCATGCAGAATCCCTTTAATAAACCCGGGGCCGGGCACCTGTCCACCCTCTGCTTGTTTAAACCGCACCCCCTCCTCCCCACGGCGGCTCCCAATGACACAACTTCCCCATGGCTCCACGACACCAGCTGTAAGAAAGCTCTTCCACACAGGATGTTTTGCAGTCAACGACGTCCGTGTCTAAGAATTTAGCCATCCTTTCCAGAGCCACTTCCACTCCGGAGTTTTCCCGACGGCTTGTGTAGGGCAGAAATTCACATGGTCAGCAAGAAGCGGGCTCAGGCCCCAGCTCTGGAAGAAGCTCTTGGCTTAGCATAGTAGAAGCAGCGTGGGTTCTGGGGTCACACACCCTAGGTTACATCTCACCTGCTCCATTCACTTCCAGCATGGCGAGAACTAAGCAAGACAGCTCTTCTTGCTAAGATTACAGCCCAAACCTCCCCGGTGGGCTGCTGGGGGCTTGGGGAAGGCCTAGGCGTTATGCCCTGCTCTGCCCCCTCCCTGAGCTGCTCATCTGCCCGCCAAGGCTCTGGCACCTGTGAGCCCTGACATGCTCCGGATGCCAAGGTCACCTTCCTCTTGGGCCGACACCGGGGCCATAAAGGAAAAATGATGCAATGGCTCCGGGTCAAGGTTCAGCTCCTCCTAAGCCTCGCAGCCAGTGCACCCCTCCGCGGGCCCCGACTCTTGGTACAAACCCGCAGCTGCTTCCGTGTGTGGCAGGAGTCTCTGGGAGACCCTGGGAGAATGTGCTCTGGGGGTGGGGGCCCTCCAGGCACGGCCATGGGAAGTAGGGTTGGGAAAATGACCGTATCCTGTGTCCACTGGCGGCCAGGGAGTCTGGACACCCGGGGCCAGCTGTGCCATCGCCCGGCAGGGTCCTCTGAGCCGGTGACTTCCTGCGTCGGTACCCTGCTCTCCTCGGGGGCGGGTGCTGAGTGAGGTGGCAGTCACCGTCGCCCTGGTGGCGCCGACACCCCTGCCCTCTGTCTGCTCTGCAGATGAGTACCTCCGAGTCCTCAATGTGGGCGTGGCCGAGGTGAAGAAGTCCTTCCTGGGGCCGCTGTCCCCGTCCTGCAAGATGGTGCAGATGATGAGGCAGTTCCTGTACCGCGTGCTGCCCGAGGACTCCTACAAGGCGGCCACCGGGAGGCTGCACGTGAGCCTCACCCGCTTCACGGACGGAGAGAGCGTGGTCGTCTCGGAGTACACGTCCAAGGAGGAGCTCATCGAGGTGAGGGGGCTGGGCTGGGGTGGGCAGGGGCCAGGGGTGCAGGCTGGCAGCGGGGCTTGGGGGCTGCCCCTGCTGTGTCTCCACAGCTCCCGGATGGGCCCCAGGTTGCCCCTCAGCCTGCTTCGTGCCCACAGTCTCCCTGTGCTGGGTGCAGAGTAGACCAGGAGGGGTTGCAGAAACTCGGGAGGAGTCAGAGGTGGCCGCCATCCTCACACTTCAGCCCCTCCCTCCACTCCGTCTTGCTGGCCTCTGGACCAGTCCTGGAGCTTCTCAGGGGCCCGGGGCTGCTCACAGGGGTCCCACAGCTCCTGGAGAGCCTCCAAGCCTGGGCAGCAGTGGCTGCTCCCCACCCCCTCCCTGGCCCTGAATTACTCCCAGTCTGTGGCGGGGTGAGGGGAGAGGGTCCCCCCCCCCTCCGGCCCTGACAAAGGCCTGGATGATCCCGCCCAGCCAGTCTGTGCACAGCTGGAAGCTTGAGCCACGGGTCACTGTCACTGCCAGAGTGGGTCTGATTAAGCTGCATGGCCTCCATCCCTGCTTCCAGTCTCCTCCCCACCCCCAAACAGGGCCTCGTCCCATCCTCACAGCCCCTGCATGGGCCTGAGCAGGCTGCGGACATGCGCTCAGGGACCCTTCCTCTCCTCCCACCTCCTGCCCTCCTCGGTTTATTAGCTCCCAGTTCTTCACCATCCACCTCCTCCCGCCCACCCCATGTTGCCATTCCACTTCCACTGCTGCAATGTTCTCTCCCCACACCTCTCCCTCCCATCAGGGCAGCCACAGCAAACGCTACCCAAACTGGACCCAGGCCGTCCGCACCTGCTGTGCCCTCGGCCAGGGTCCCCTCCCCCCTTCCCATCCTACTTCCTCTGCCTGACTCCTGCCCCAGGACCTCCTGAATCACTGCCCGCCCTGCTGCCCTGCACCCTCCTTTGGGGTCACAATGCCCATGCTCTCCTGCACCTCCAAAGCACCTGCCACCCTCTGTACTGACACCCACTGCATCTCACCCCTCCTTCATGTCCAGAGCCTGCCCAGGACAGATCCCAAGAATGGTTGCTGGATCACTCTGGATTTGCAGAAATTAGGGGTCTGAAGGGACCGTGGGATACTGAGGCCCTGTCTCTCCTCAAAGCTGGGGCATCAGACCCAGATGAACCGTGCAGTTACCAAGCACCCACCTAGTTAGGGCCAGCTCCCAAACTGGACTTGGGACACTGCTTCCGGGGTGAAGGCCTGGGCTGGTGGCTGGGCTTGGGGCCGGCAGTCTCAGTCTTGCTCTGTCTCCCACAGGCCTTGTACTGCAGCTGCTTTGTCCCCGTGTACTGCGGCTTCATCCCCCCGACTTACCGCGGTGTGGTGAGTGCTGGGGGAGGAGGACAAGCCGGAACCAGGACCACCTGGGGATCCCCAGGACCCACATCCCGGACAGTGGAGGGGAGGGTCTTGGGTTGGAAAGTTGCATGCTTGTCTACTCAGAATTCCCACTGTGGGTAGACTTCCGGGGCTGTTGAATGAATGCCCCTCCCCACCCCGGCACGGTGGGGGAGTGGGCTTCTCTCTGAACCCATTACTGAGCCTGGGAATCAAGGCTGCACAAGCGCACAAGGTTTTTCAGACTGGACACCAAGAGCAGAACACGAACCCTGGGCTTAGACCAGCGCCACCCAAACATTCCTGTGCCCTTGAACTCCTGGGGGTCTGGTGCAGTAATGCAGACCTGAGCCAGTGGATCCCGGGGTATCTGTGATTCCAGGCCGCCAGCCCACCCCCCACCCCGGCGTGGGGAAGGATCCGCATGTGCTGGTCCCCAGGCCACTCTCTGAGCCCGGCTGCCCAGCCCATGCCCCTCCTCTTGTCTACCTAGAGAAGATAAGCTCCAGGAGGAGGATTTGGGTGGAAGAGCCCCTATTGCGCATGAGCTGGGTCCGTGGCGGCTGAGCAGGGGCCTGGGCACCATCTTCTGCCGTACCTGGGGCGGCCCCTCACCCCCACCCCAGGGCCTGAGGGTCCCCGTCTGGGCACCATGACCTGGCTGAGGGGGCAGAGTGAGGACAGAGCAGGGAGGGCCTCGGGCTCACACTCGCAGGCTCTCCGGGGCCTCAGCAGACACGCCTCGCTCCGCCCACAGAGGTACATCGACGGCGGCTTCACCGACATGCAGCCCTGCTCCTTCTGGACGGACTCCATCACCATCTCCACCTTCAGTGGGCAGCAGGACATCTGTCCCCGCGACTGCCCCGCCATCTTCAACGACTTCCGCCTGTTCAACTACTCCTTCCAGTTCTCCCTGGAGAACCTCGCCCGGATGACCCACGCACTCTTCCCACCGGACCTGGTGGTGAGAGTGGGAGGGGCGCGGGCGGGGGGCGGGGCCGAGCTCCTTCCATGCCCCTCCCCTCACCCGGCCCTCCCTGCTCCGGCTCCCCCAGCGTCTTAAAATGGTTTGCTGGCGGAATGCCTCGGCTCTGACAGCCGATGCACCAGGCCGCGGCCCAGGGACTGAACCCAGCTTGTGGCTTGGTTTTGTACAGCCTGGAGCTAACAGTGGGTTTTCCATTTTTAAACAGTTGTTAAAAAGGGGGGGGGCGGGGGCAGAGGCTACATGTGGCCAGCAAAGCCCCAAATATTTATTCTCTGGCCCTTTTACGTGCCCCTTCCACTGGCCCCTTCCACGGGCAATATCTCATGTGATCCAGCAGCTGCCACTGCCATACACCCTGTGACTATGCCCATTTTACAGATGATGTTGAGGCGCTGAGAGGTTACAACCAGTAGGTGGCAGCACTAGGATTTGAACCCAGACTCCAAACTGCTACTTGTTTGGTCCAAATGTGCCTTCTCTGGTTCCACCATAAACATCTCACCCTCCCACGGTGGTGATCACCGTGAGTGACGTCACACGCTAACGCAGCCTTCCTGGGACGTGGAAGCAGAAACGGTCCCCAGCCCGTCTGAGCAGATAGCGAGGGCTGGGACACTGCGTGGGTTGGGAGAGCCTCATCAGAGTTCAAGGGCAATGAAAAGTGCTGCCCCGGTGGGGAGGGGCCTGTTCCTCTCGGTTAAACTTTCCCTGTGTTCCCTACGCCCAGATCCTGCACGACTACTACTACCGAGGGTACGACGATGCGGTTTTATACCTGAGGCGGCTGAGTGAGTACCCGTGGGGACCCTGGGAGGGGGAGGGCAGGAAGTGGAAGGGCCCAGTGTTGGGCGGCTGCCCCCCAGATTTGCCACCTGGAGAGCTGGACATGGGGTGGGCACCTGGCAGCCTGCATTGTCTCAGGTAGGCCGCGGAGGGCAGAAATTAGGATGCCCGTGGAGAGGGGGCTTTTGGAGGTGGGCCGGCGTGCAGGGCATCGCCATGCACATATCTGTGTTTTTTGTTTTTTGTTTTTGACAGGCAGAGTGGACAGTGAGAGAGAGAGAGACAGAGAGAAAGGTCTTCCTTTTGCCGTTGGTTCACCCTCCAATGGCCACTGCGGCAGGCGCCCTGTGGCTGGCACAACGCGCTGATCCGAAGGCAGGAGCCAGGTACTTATCCTGGTCTCCCATGGGGTGCAGGGCCCAAGCACCTGGGCCATCCTCCACTGCACTCCCTGGCCACAGCAGAGAGCTGGCCTGGAAGAGGGGCAACTGGGACAGAATCTGGTACCCCCACTGGGACTAGAACCTGGTTTGCTGGCGCCGCAAGGCGGAGGATTAGCCTAGTGAGCCACGACGCCGGCCATATCTGTATTTTGAAGCCATGTTGAGAAAGTACCTAGTTCAGAGCCCCCTGGTGAAGTCCATTCTGTGTCATCCCATTCTCTTCCATTGTAGTCTCTCTCTAATAAGACCGTGTTATTGATGTAGAACAATATGTGATTAGTTTGTATTTGCATAAGACTTTGAGTGACATACAATTCAGCCAGCTAGAGAAGGGGGCTCCTTGCCCAGTGCTAGGTCAGCAGGTGGGCGTTGCCTGGCGTCCCCTCTGTGCCCCATGGCAGGGGAGGGAGAGAGGGAGGGCTTTGGTGGCACTTGTCACGTGCTCTGGGCCACAGAGGCCAGGGCCACGGAGGCCAGGGCCACAGCTTGGTTAGAAGAAATGAAAAAAATCCATTTTCCATATTTAGAATTTGAATTCCGTAGGACTGCCGGGGCGGCGGATGTTTGGCTGAGGTTACGTGGCACACTGTTTCCCACGCGGCCACACGCATGGGTGCCCTTCCTGGCAGCTCTGCAGTGTTCCATCGCGGCCGCCCATCAATCCCAGCCTGCCCGCTGCTTTGCGTTTCCGGGGGTTTGCTCACCTGAGTGAGGCTGGGGTGACTGCTTGGTGCTCGCAGCGTTAGCAGCCACTTTGGGGGCGAGGGTAGGAGTGGAGTGAGATTCTCTCCCTAGCACAGGTTCACACATGACTTCAAAATCACTTCCTGCTTCCCCCAGCTCCCAGGTCCCACCCCTTGACTTTTCTCCAGGCCCTTTCTCCCAGGCTCCCCACCTCCCTGAGCTGTGTGACCTTGGGGAAGTCACTTCACCTCTCTGAGCTCTGGCTTCCTAGTGATTAAATAAGGACTGGCTCCTAACACTGACTAACCCTGTGAGCTCGGGCAGGAAATTAACCTGCTGGCGCCTCCATTTCCTGATCCGTAGAAGGGGCTTAACGTGCACCTGCCTCACTGCTTCCTGATGAAGATTAAAGCGCAAAGCCTTGGTGCAACGCGCTAGCAAACGGTGGCCTTCTGGGGAGTGCCAGCCTGCTGCGCCTAGCCCACCACCCCTCCAACCCCAGCACGCACCTGTGGGCAAGACAGAGCCCTCCCAACCCCAACGCTGGAATCTCCCCCATCCCCCACAGCCGCAGGGGTGGAAGCTGTAGGAACCCAGCCCCAAGTGTCTAGCAGGCGGACCCCCTGAGTGGAGCACTAGGAACGGGGTCCTTTTGGCCATTGGCTGGGTGTTAGGAAAAGAGTTGCAGATTGGTGCCTCCTCGCACGGGGCTCTGTACATGTTAGGAAAAGAGGTGCAGAATAGAGAGGAGGCAGTGTATGAATTTACAGCCAGGCTGAATTTATTCAGAGGAAATAAATCCGTAGAGGTGGGTGACCAACTGCCCGAGTGCACGCTGATGGAGTGCGTGGCAGAAGGAAGGCCCTGAGCCCAGGGACTGGGCCTTTTTATATCTTAGGAGGGCTAGGGCTGGGGGTGGGGGTAGGGGACAGCAGGCGGAGGGGAATTCCTGGAACTGGTCTTTCAGGTGGCCGTGGGGGCGGGGTAGGAAGGCAATAGGGTGTGGGACCCAACTGAGAGTCAAGGGCAAGACATACATTCCAATGTTTATCTCTTCTGGGCAACGAGCAAGAGTGGCTGAGGCTCTTGTCTTTGTTCCATCACTGGGAAGCCCCCCTTCCTCCTCACGGGTGGGGTGGGCTCTGCAGGACCCCCTGACCTGAGACTTGGGTCTTGGGGCGGACGTCCATTCCCTGGCCCGGGAGGGCCCTCTACAACTAGGGGTGTGGAGGGAGGCCCCTCTACACTGTCTCCCCTGTATCCCTTGGCTCTCCTCTGGAACATTTTTCTCTTGGGGCAGGTCCTGGGGAGAGGTACAGAGTGGGGTTAAAGGTCACTCATCCCAGCAGGGGGCGGCGCAGCCAGAGCCCTCTCCCCCTCCCCCACAGCACACGGCACGGCGGCGTGGGTGGCTGCCCTATGCTCCAAGCCTCGTGGTGGCAGCTACTCCCGCTGTTGGTCCTTTCTCTCCTGCACTGCCCTCACCCCTACCACGCAGACACTTGGGGGCTTGATGGATGGAGTTTTTCTCCCGGCACCAGACAGGAGCAGGAAGCCCCACCCCGAGAGGTCTCCCTCCCGAAGGGATCTCCTGCACCTCACTACTCCTGCCCGCCCGGCCGCCCCTGGCAGCGGGAAGGGCATGCAGAGGTGCCTGAAAGTCCACATTCCCCATGCTGCTGCTCTGGGAGCCAGGGCGCTGGGGGAGGCTGCAGCTCCGAGCAGCTAACGCATCCTTCTGACAGCAGGTGTGCCCAGCCACGCCTGCCTTCCCTGCCTCCCGCCCTCTGCCCTGGGCAGACAGCCTGTCGCCCCCTCCCACCTCCCCTTGTCCCCTGTTCCCAGGCAACCCGGACCTGCTCCCCTTTGTCCTTATAAATTAATTTACATTATCTAGAGTTTTCGCTAAGTAGACTTTTTTGTAGCAAGGATTATTTCCCTCATTTTTTTTAAGGTTTATTTTTATTAATTTGAAAGACAGAGTTACAGAGAGAGGTGGAGACAGAGAGAGTGTGAGGTCTTCCATCAGCTGGTTCACTCCCCAAATGAGCCGATCTGAAGCCAGGAGCCAGCAGCTTCTTCTGGGTCTCCCACAGGGGTGCAGGGGCCCAAGGACTTGGCCATCTTCTACTGCTTTCCCAGGCACATTAGCAGGGAGCTGGGTTGGAAGTGGAGCAGCTGGGACTCGAACCAGCACCCATATAGGATGCCGGTGCTTCAGGCCAGGCCTTTAACTCACCAAGCCACAGCACCAGCCCCATTAAGTAGACTCTTAAAGGTACAGACTCTTTGGCTATCTGGTCTCCGAGTCCATGTAGCTATGCTGAGGCTGGTCCAGGCTGTTTCGTACAGAACTCGTCCATGCCTTTGCACTTTCATCCCGCTGCGGGAGCAGCCGCTGCTCATGTAGCCGCACACCTGTGCAGGGCCACACAGGCTGCCTCCGGACTCGGGCTATGACCGGTAAAGCTGTCGAGGGCACTCATGACTTAGGTCCATGTAGGCGCATGTGCTGTCCTTTCTCTTGGACAAATAGAATGCTATGACCGCGTTGTATGGGACGTGTGTGTTCCACACACAGAAACAACCAGTACATATTTCAGTTGTGTTATCACATGAAGGTTACCAGCGCAGCCATCTGTAAGTGGGCAGCTCCCTGGTGCTCTCTCTACCGGTATTACTGTACCACCAACCTCTAGAACTCTCATTTCACAAAACACACTCTACCCATCAAAGGACGTCTCCCCCTTCCTCCTCCTTTTCCTCCTCCTCCTCCACCAGCCCCTGGCAACCAGCATTCCGCTTCCTGTTTCTGTGAGTGTCACTGCTTCAGATACCTCGTATCGGTGGAGTCACACACCATTGGCTCCGGTTGTGGATGGCTTATTTCACTTAGCAGAGCATCCTCAGGGCCCACCTGGGCCGGGCCACATCGTGTGGCCGGATTGCCCTCCTTCGAAGGCTGACCAGGATTCCCCACATGCAGATGCCTCATCGCCTTTCTCCATTCGCTGGTGCCTTGGGGGCTTCCACTTTTTGGCTATTGTGAATAATGGCTGTGGTGACCCTGGGGGTGTAAATCTCTTTGAGAGCCTCTTTTCAATTCTTTTGGACCTACAGCCAGGATGTATGTTTGACTTTTTAAGAAACTGGCAGATTGCTTGTGCCATCCACACTCCCACTAGCAGCGGCTGCTGGTTCCAGTTTCTCTGGATTCTCACGAGCACGTGCTATGCTTGGCTGTCTCATCCCAGCCACCCTGTCGCTCCCCGTCTTCATGGAGGAACGACACTAAACCCTGCCTAGGCTTCATATCCGAGTCACGGCACCATTATGTCGCTCCCCGTCTTCGTGGAGGAACGACACAGGACCCTGCGCTGTTCTTTTGTCTGCTCGGCCCTTCCCGGGTTTGCTGCTGGTTCTTCCCGGGTTGTCTGCCGTCCCTTCCACCTCCGTGGAAGGGCAGTTCCCCCTGCCACTTTCCCCACTTCCGCGGGGGAGCGGCACACCGCCAGCCGGCTCTCTCGGGGGCTGCACAGGTGTTCCTCTTAGATGTTCCTGGTGCATGGTGTCTCTCTCCTCCTTTATAGTCCTCTTCCACCAATCCCAACTCTGCTACCCACACGCCGAGTATGCTGCTCTCCTCCAATCAGGAGTCGGTCCTACAGTTTATTGGTTGAACTGGAGGCAGCTGTGTAGAAGCTGTTTCTCCCTTCTCAGCGCCATATTGTGGGAGAGCAGATGCATAGAATAAGTCTTAATTCCAGTAACTTAGTCTAGTCCGAGTTGCTCCCCACACACCCTTGCAGGCATGTGGTGGTTTTAGCTTGCGTTTCCCTAGCGATCGATGGTGTTGAGCCTCTTTGCCGGTGGTCACCCTCTGTCGTCAAGTCTCTCGCCCATGTCTCACTCCCCAAACCTTTAATATGACACTAGTTTTAGATTCCCAGGGGAGTTGTGGAACAACACAGGGAGTTCCTGTGTGCTCCACACCCACTTCTCCCTATCGCTGGTGTCTCACGTGGGTCAGGGGTTGTAGGGCGGCACAGGTGTAACGCGGCACACAGGATGGTGCATCTGTGACGTTGATGACGATGTGGCCCACTGCTGCTGACTGCGGGCCATAGTTCATTAGCTGGAATTCTCTAGATTACTTGTGCAGACAATGCCAGCCTCCCCCATGGCATGCTCCAAGAGTACAAGAAACATCACAGTCATTTTTCCTCACTGTTAATTCAAGTAAAGAAAGACCACTAAATAGCACCAGTCTTGTTTATGACAGTCGCCGGGGAATCCGTGTTTTAGCAAGTGCCGAGCTGGTGCCAGGAGCCAGCAAGGCCACCTGTGACCCCTGCAATTGTCTTTCCTAGATGCTGCCTACCTCAGTTCTCCCTCCAAGAGAGTGATTTTTCCCCGGGTGGAAGTATACTGCCAGATCGAACTTGCCCTTGGCAATGAGTGTCCCGAGCGCAGTCAGCTGGACCTCCAAACACAGCAGGTCCGTCTGGAGGAACCCGTACATCACACACAGTGGGCTCCCAAAGGAGACGGGAGGGGTGGCCCCGGCCCGGCCGTGTCCCCACCTCTGCAGACTTCCGAATCCACGTGTGGGTGTCCTGTGGAGTCGCCTGTTTCCCCAACCGTGTCTTCATTGGAGCAGTCACCTGCATCCCCACTGGTCTCATCACTGGCATGTTCTCCAACTGACTTGCTCCCTGAGCCACCCATGTCACCTCCAGATATGCACCTGAACTCCAGCTCAGCCCCTGGCTTGTCACCGCCCATCACACCACCAGGGCTGCTACCCGTGTCACCTCAGCGGCAGGTCCACATGCCTGGATCACCACTCAGACCCCCTCCCTCCCAGTCATCCACATCACCCTGTCTAGCCCCAGGGCCCCCAGCTGTGGGGCCATCTCAACCACCGCCCCGCGATTCCTCTCCAGCACCACCTGCACAGCCATGTGTGGAGGAACTGGGACCAGAGCAGCCCCCAGGTAAGCCATTTTCTGGGTTCTCCCGGCGTCCCCCATCTGGAGTCCCCCAGTCCAGTGTGCAACAGCATGGTGCGGACCCTTGTTGCTTTAGAGGAATGGAACAGTTAGCTGGCAGCTCTCGCAGCTCTGCCTGCTATGAGGAAGGGCACCACAAGGGGGCAGTGCAACTGAGGTTTATTCATCCCTTAGCTCACGCCTAAGTGTGGTCCCCACCAGCAACAGCAGCCTGACTTGGGAACTCGCTAGAATGACAGCTCCCAGGCCCCACCACAGACTGAACAAAACACAAGCTCTGGGGCTGGGGCCCAGCTGCCCCGGGCCAGCCTCCTGCTGTCACTCACCCACGTTTCAGAGCCACTGTTGCCGTAGGCTCGCTGTGACAGCCACGGTGCGGGCAGTGCTACTCAGACTGGGCCTGCGCGCGGGGCACATCTGGCCTGTGTTCTCAGCCCAGGGGGGTTTTGCTCCAAGGGCATGTTTCGCAACAACTGCAGACACTTTTGATTGTCCGTCTCCTGGTGGGTAGAGGCCGGGGATGCTACTAAATATCCTCTAGTACGCGGGGCAGCTCCCCCCACCCCATTCCGCAAAAGAGTTATCCGACCCTTGACGCCAACAGACGTGAGGCTGCTGCCAGCCTGCAGTGGAGCCGCAGCAGCAACACTCCAAGCCACTCCCCAAGGTGGGAGATGGGCAGCAGAGGGAGGGGTGTCAGTCATTTAATGATGCCCTGGGCAGTGCATGGGGGTGGGGGTGGGGATTGCCAAATCCCTGACTTGGGCCTGAGTGTGCAAACTGAGAAACAGAGAGAGAGAGAGAGAAACAGCTCCTATTCACTGGTTCATTCCCACAGTGCCCACCCAGGCTGGGGCTGCACCCAGGCTACTGTCAGGAGCCAACAGCTAGAATCTTGGCCACTTGGGTGCCACCTGCTGGCGACTGGAATGAGGGGCTGGAGCGGGCGCTGAACCCAGGCACTCTGGCGTGGGATGCAGGCTGCCCATCCGGTACCTAACTGGCCCCTCTGCTGTTTTTAACCGCTATGCTCGATGTACTGTTGTGATCTCGAATATGCACGAAGTCTCAGGTCGCCTCTCTTTTCACCTGCAGCTTCCCCTGCCTCTTCTAGTCCCAAAGGCACAGCGCTGCGGGTTCAGCCGAAGGAAACCATCAGCAAGGCATCAGCACCGTACGTCTCCTCCTCTGGCTGGGGCGAGGTGGCCCAGCTCAGCTCAGCCGGCCTGGGAACCCTGGACTGCTTCCCCAGTTTGTGTGATGAAGTCCACCTTGTGACATCTCACAAGCCATGGGGTGGGAAGGAGCCTGCTGGGGTGACATCTCGTTCTCAGGCTCCCTCCCGTGCATGCTGGGAAGGCACCTCTGAGTGCAGTGGGAGAGCGTGCGTGCTTGCCCGGTGTCGCTCTGTGGGGCTGGGGGGCCATCTGCTTCCTGGCCTGCAATAGCTCCTGCCTGCCAGGTTAAGGGAGACTATGGAAGATCTTCCTTCATCCAAGTTCATTTCCACTAGCAGGGCAAGAGGCTGGTGGTCCCGCACTCTCGGTTAGCCCCAGAAAACCACTGCTGTGATGCCCATCTGTTGTCTGGCTGTGTGATGTATATCCATGGTCATCTTTGCAGGAATACGAACGGCCTGAGGATGGCTATTTCTTTCAAGTTCCCTGGCTCACTCGCAGGCTGGAGGCCATTGGTTTAGCAGTGGAAGGCGCCAGCAGAGATCAGAGCACGGGTCGCCGGCTTGTCTCCCCCATTCCTTGCCTTGCCACACTGCGGCACCAGGAGGGCAGGGCTGGGGGCAGTCCCACTCCGGGGACCTGCACTCCAGCTCATATCAAACTTATTAAAATGCGCCCACTTTCCACGTGACCTCCGATTTGAACTATAAAACTTTTTGAAAGAGTTTGTATAAAGTTGATGCTTTTTTGTTCACATGGTTTGAGCTTTTTTGCTTTTTTGTACATGTGACTGTGAGTTTCAGCTCCTACCTGGCGTGATGTTACTAAGATCGATTATCCACTGATTACCAAACAAGCCCACATAGTAGGGGAGCATGGACCCCCAGCCAGGGCCGAGCATCGCGGTGTTCCCGTATCTGCCTTCTGGGCAGGAGCAGGGCCCTGATCCTGAGGACAGAGGACCGGCCAGTAACAAAGCTTCCTCCCTCCCCAGGGACCGCCCTGCCGGGGACTCCTGCTGGGTGACCAAGGTATTCAAGAAGAGCAAACCAAAGACAAGCAGCCCCAGAAGAGGCTTCCCAAGACCTCCCAAAAAGCCAAGCAGCGACATGCAGTGAGCATGACCTTCTGGGGGAAGTGGGGTTGGCAGGGAGGCTCCCAGGAGAATAAGGGGCACCAGGAAGGAGAGAGCTTGGGCTTTGGAGCCAGACACATGCGTGGCCGGGGCACCTGGTCTCTCCAAGCCTCCGTTTCCTGATCTGTAAAGTGGGGAGGATCCCAGTTCGGAAGGTTGGGAGAGGTGAATGCCACTGACTACACGAATTGATAGCTGTATCACAGCACTCAATAGTTAGCAAGTCTAATGGTTCTGCAACTCTTGCAACTTGGCCAGCTACCTCTCAGCTTCTGAGTAGGCACTCCTTAAAAGCTAAACTAGCGGGACGGGTGCTTGACCAGGAGGGTAAGAGGACCTGGGCTCCAGCTCTTGGTTCCAGCCCCCTGCTGATGTGCACGTTGGGAGGCAGCGATCAGGGCCCAAGTAGTTTCCATTACTGCTGCTCCCGTGGGAGACGTGGATTCCCCCCGCCCCCAGCTTCAGCACCCTGGCCTTCGCAGGGTTTGGGAGAATGAACCAGAGGATGGGACAACTCAAGCTCGCTCTCTCTCTCTCTCTGTCTCCCCTCTCAAACAAAAAACTAAAACCTGCAAACTAGGCATGTGGGTACCTACATGCCTACTAGAAATCTCACCTCCCAGAAGTTCATATTTTGGTAAATATCATTCCATATTTTTTAAGCACACACAAACATATTTTTAAAAATGTTTTAAAGATTTATTTATTTGAAAGTCAGAGTTACACAGAAAGAGGAGAGGCAGAGGGAGAAAAGAGAGGTCTTCCATCCACTGGCTCACTCCCCTGTTGGCCGCAACACCCGGAGTTGCACTGATCCAATGCCAGGAGCCAGGAGCTTCTTCTGGGTCTCCCACATGTGTGCAGGGGCCCAAGGATTTGGGCCATCTTCTACTGCTTTCCCAGGCCACAGCAGAGAACTGGATTGGAAGTGGAGCAGCCGGGTCTCGAACTGGCACCCATGTGGGATGCCGGTGCCTCAGGCCAGGGCATTAGCCCACTGCACCACAGTGCCAGCCCCATATTTTTAAATTTTTATGATGGGACCTAGTGCTGTGGTGCAGTGGGTTAAAGCCCCTGCCTGCAGTGCTAGCATCCCATATGGTACCAGTTCAAGTCCTGGCTGTTCCACTTCTGATCCAGCTCCCTACTAATGCACCTGGGAAAGCAGTAGAAGATGGCCCAAGTCCTTGGACCCCTGCACCCACGTGGGAGACCAGGAAGAAGCTCCTGGATCCTGGCTTTGGATCAGCGCAGCTCTGGCTGTCGAAGTCATCTGGGGAGTGAACCAGTAGATGAAAGACCTCTCTATCTATCTCTATCTCTCTCTGTAACTGTCTTTCAAATAAGTAAAAAAAAACTTTAAAAAAAATTTTTATGAAAATGGTATCTTGTGCTACACACTGTTTTGTAGCCCAGTTTTTTTTTTTTTTTAAGGAGCAATCTGATTTTCTTTTTTAAAACATTTGTATTAATTTACTTTCATTTTCTATGAAGGGTAGAGAGACAAAGATCTAGACAGAGATCTTTCATCCACTGGTTGACTCCCCAAATGCCTGCAACAGCCAGGACAGGCCTAGGGCTGGGCCATGCTGCAACCAGGAGCCCAGAACTCAATGCAGGTGGCAGGGACCCAGGAATGTTTGCAGTCACCTGTTGCTTCCCAGGATACACCTTAGCAGGAAGCTGGATGGGAAGTGGGGGAGCCAGGACTCAAACCAGGCTCTCTGAGTTGGGATGTCAGCATCCCAAGCTGGCACCTAACCACGGCGCCAAATGTCCACCCACTGTAGCCGGCTTTTTAACTGCAGACTAAGGGCATAACTCCCCTCCATGTCATATCTACACTATAATAGCCATGGGTGGTAATAGATCCACCCTATCTCCTCGGTGTGGATATACTACTTACTGCCTCAATCCCCTACTGACGAACATTTAGTTTGTCCCCCACGTTTTTGCTATTATCAACGTTACTGTGAAAAACACTCCCCAAAATGCATCCTTGTAGACACACCCCAAGTGTCGTTCATTCGGCATTCTTTTCCAGAACTGGCATCGCCGGACCAGGTCTGGTGCTTGGTGCCAAACGGTTGCCCTGCGGGGGAACTGCGGTGCCCTATACCCCAGCAGCAAATGAACGGCGAGAGACCCCCGCCCGCACCACTCCCCGACAGCGGGCAGCTCAGCGCCCCCCAACCCACCTGCAATTCTGAGATCGAGGAAGCTCTGAAAAAATCACGAACAAGGCAAAAGCCTCTTCGAGGCAGGCATGGAGTTATTTATGGCCATTAGTACCCCTGTGGCACACATTTCCATGTCCTTGCCGAAAGTCAGGCCGGTGTTGCATTATGGGGTGTTTCTCACTGGGGAAGTTACAGACATATGACAAATGCACTGCATTTTTCTAAAATCTGAAAAATTCTGAATTCCACAGCACACCAGTCCTCAAGGGCTTCGGATAAGAAACTGGGGGCCTGTCTCATCTTTTAATTTTTTTAAGATGTATTTATTTATTTATTTGAAAGTCAGAGTTATAGAGAAGAAGAGGCAGAGAAAGAGACAGAAAGAAAGTGTTCCATCTATTGGTTCACGCCCCAAATGGCCACAACAGCCAGGGCTGGGCCAGGCTGAAGCCAGGAACTTCATCCAAGTCTCCCATGTAAGTGCAGGGGCCCAAGGACCCGGGCCATCTTCCACTGCTTTCCCAGGTGCATTAGCAGGAAGCTGAATCAGAAGTGGAGCAGTCAGGACTCAAACCAGTGCTCATATGGGATGCTGGCGCTGCAGGTGGCAGCTTTACCTGCTAGGCCACAGCATCAGCCCCTCACCTTCTCATTCATTGCAAACTGATGGGTGAAAACTAACATTTCCATAGAATAGGTGGCCAGTGATCACAATGCCATGTATTAAGTAAACCTTTTCCTGCTGACTTGAAATAGCACCTGTTTTATGCAAAATTTCTCATCAGTGTTGGGCCTGCTCCATTGCCTATCCATTCCTGAGTAGGAGCAAAGTGTTTATTTGTTTTAGAGATTGTTTATTTGATTATTTATTTGAAAGGCAGAGTAAAGACAAAGATCTTCCATCTGCTGATTCATTCCCCAAATGACCACAACAGTCAGGTATGGGCCAGGCTGAAGCCATGAACCAGGAACTCCATCCAGGTCTCCCATGTGGGTGGCAGCGCCCTAAGCACTTGGGACATCTTCTGCTGCTTTCCCGGGTGCATTTGCAGGAAGCTGGATCAGAAGTGGAGCAGCCAGGACTCGAGTGAGCACTCCAATATCATATAAGCGGCTGCTTAACCTGCTGCGCTGTAACATCGGCCCCAGTACAGTGTTTTAACTGCTGAGCTTTTCACTGGTTTGAATGTCTGGGGGGGTGGGGGGAGCAATGTATTTCTGGTAAGATTAGGATTCCAAAAAAGCTTTTGATTGGCTTAATATTGTCGCTCCCCCTCTTCATGGAGGAACGACACTAAACCCTGCCTAGGCTTCATATCCGAGTCACGGCACCAATATGTCGCTCCCCGTCTTCGTGGAGGAACGACACTAAACCCTGCCTAGGCTTCATATCCGAGTCACGGCACCATTATGTCGCTCCCCCTCTTCGTGGAGGAATGACACAGGACCCTGCGCTGTTCTTTTGTCTGCTCGGCCCTCCCCGGGTTTGCTGCTGGTTCTTCCCGGGCTGGCTACCGTCCCTTCCACCTCCGTGGAAGGGCGGTTCCCCCTGGCCACTTTCCCCACTTCCGCGGGGAGCGGCACACCGCCGGCCGGCTCTCTCGGGGGCTGCACAGGTGTTCCTCTTAGATGTTCCCCTTAGATGTTCCTGGTGCATGCCGTCTCTCTCCTCCTTTATAGTCCTCCTCCGCCAATCCCAACTCGGCTGCCCACACGCCGAGTACGCTGCTCTCCTCCAATCAGGAGCAGGATCAGCTCCTGGAGGTCAGCACTCAAGTTGGCAAGAGGCAGCTGCGTAGAAGCTGTTTCCTCCTCTCCCAGCACCATATTGTGGGAGAGCAGATGCATAGAATAAGTCTTAATTCCAGTAACTCAGTCCAGTCCGGGTTGCTCCCCACAAATATCATGTGCCAGGACTGCACTTAATAGTCTTTAGCCCTCTGGGCTTAGAGAAGTGAAGGCACCATCAAAATCACACAGCAGAGCTGCACGTGCAAGACGAGATTCCAGGGCATTGCTTCACTCTGGCCTAGGTTAGATGGCACCAGGAGTATCAAAACCTGACCTTGAACTTGACACTTGTAAGATGTTTGCTCAGGTAGAAAGACTGACTTTATATTCAATACATGTCTGTATCAATTATACTGTATAATGCTTTACGTTCCTATGTCTAGTTATTTTCCTTACATAGCACCCTTGGATTCAGTCACCAATGTCCAGTTCATCGCTGGACACTGGGGATACAGCAGCCTTCTGTTTGCTCTTGGATCCCAGGGAACAATCTCAAAGGGGCTGCCAGGCTCAGCAATTGCAGCATCACCTGGGAGCCTGCTGGGATCCAAGTTCTTCGGCCCACTCGGACCTATAGAATAAGAAGCCGAGGCTGAGGCCCGGTGGTCTGTGTCTCCCCTTGCCCACTGGGGGACTTTGCTGCTCGCTGGAGATGACCAGCACTGGCTTGGGATGGGACAAGAGCCAGAGGAGAGAGGGCCGACGCATCCTGTTAGTGGGAGGGTCTCCGGGAAGGCTCCCTGGAGGAGCAGGAGCTAGGCAGACTGGGGGTGGGGGTACAGGAGGGCGTTCCAGGTGCACCTGTCACAGGGAGGTGCTGGGGTGAGCCTAGAGCCGTGGCTGGCGTGGGTGCCCGGCTTCCTCTGTGGTGCCACAGATTCCATAACTGTGGAGATTTGAAAATAATCCAAGAAGGTGTCAGGCCCCGTCCCAGCGGAGGTGGGTTCTTCCTCCACTTGCCCAGAGAGGCAAGGGATGTGCCAGAGTCACACAGCAGGTGGAGGTGGAGGGTGGAGGTGGAGGTGGGCCTTGCAAGTCCCAGGTCCCACCCGCGTGTCCTTTCCCCTCACGTGTGTGTCCTCATTCAGGTCCGCGCCCTGCCCACTCAACCTCTCCCTCCTCTCCACCTCCAAGATGGTGTGGATCTCCTACAGACCCCACCCCAGCCGGACCCAGGAACACAGCTGCCCAGAGGTGTGGGACTCCCCTGCGGTGTCCTGGGGGTGCTGCGGGGACCCCTGGGCCTGTCCACCCACCTGCCACTTCCTGGTCACAATCAAGGTCAACTCGAGCGCCTGCCAGCTGCTGGAGTATTTCCTAATGTGTCAGAACAGGGGCCGCGACTGCCAACTCCACTCTAAGAAGTGTCTGGTTGTGTGGCACCGTGCCCTTGTACAGTGCGTAATCTGTACAGCCGTCCTCAGCGACCTGGAGACCACTGCACCCTTGGCTCCTTCCCCAACAGCCAGGAATCCTTTGCACTCTTCTAAACTCCGTAATGTTTCAGACACCTTTCAGCAGGTCCCAGCAGAGAATGCCACGTGCAGGACCCTCATCTAAGAAAGCAAGTCCTGGATAGGCCTTTGGTGTAAATTGAGATTTGCCACTTGCACAGCTAGGGTTGGCTGTGCCAGGGGGGCCGCCCGAGGTGTCTGAGTTTGTAAGGGAAGCCCTCCGTGGGGACCCACACGTGATGCATCTGTGTCCCACTCCTTAGGAAGCCGGGAGCCAAGAGCGGAAACCTGAGCTGCCTGCGGCCCGGGCCGAGCCTGCTGCCTGCGCCTGTCTGATGCCGTCCCTGACCCCGGGCGTCTGAGTGCCAAGGGTGACGCCCACCGCCCGTCCTGAGGTGCAGAGCACCTGTGTGGCCCGGACTCCTTCAGCTGCTTCCACTGCCCTGCTCCGGACGCCCACACGCTGCGCAGCCCCCCAGTGCCGGTCCACGGGCGCTGCCTCTTCGTGGCCCACGTCTCCCCAGGACCCCGGACACGGGAGAGCCCAGGACACCCCCTGCCGTGTCCTGTGCTGTCAAGAGACCAGGTTCTTCCTTCGTCCTCCTCAGCGTGTGCTCAGGGCTCCCCTGGGAACGCGGGGTCCCCGTAGGCGCTGGGGGGCCTGCTGCCTGCGGACAGGTGCCTTCACGCGCGGCCGACGGTCCGAGCCTCCGCGAACACCCCACAGGAGCGTCACCTCCGTTTTTCCAGTCCGTCCAGCAAAACGAACCAGCTCCACTGCTCCCCAGAGAGCCGACAACCTCCCAGCCCCAGCCAGGCCCAGCTGCATTTGTTTAGCAAATTCTAGAAGGCAAAGCGCAGAGCGCATGGGCGGAGGGCAGTGGTGGACTGGACACGGGAGTCGGAGGGGCTGGGCTAGGACTGTGGCAACGCAGCCCCAGGGGGAGCCCATGCGGAGCCCCAGGGTATCAGGGCGGAGGGGGGTGCAAACCGTACCTTTGCTACCTTTGCGGGCCCTGAGAAGGATCGGTGCGGGGCTGGGGTGGGGGATAGGGGGTGCACGCTCTGCTGTTCTGCTAGTTCTTGTGCCCAGGTCTGGCCAGGGAAGCGTCTGGGCGTTTGCGGGGTGGGGGAAGAGAGGGGTTCAGGAGCGCCCCTCCCTGGGGGCGGGCCCAGAAGTCCAAGCCCATCCAACCAGGAACTGGGGCTTCCCTTCTGCGCGGGTCCACAATGCTCACTCCCTGGCTTCGGGGGACTTCCCAACGATCATGTCTTTTGACGCAAAGCCCCCCGCTGAGCTCCAGGGCTGCCCACACCAACTGTAAGCGCCGGGCACGGCTTGACCACCCTTCTCTTCGAGGTCATGAAGAGGATTGTTCTCGCCGCCGGTGGAGGCTAAGACGGAGGACACTGGACACCTTGTTAATCTGACGTTCAGATAAACAGCGAATAATCACTTAGCAGAAGCATGTCCCCCAGCCCGTGCTGCCATTATTTGCTGTTTCTCTGAAATTCAAATTTCACTGGACTTCCTGTATTTTTGTTGGGTCCATCGGACAATCCCAACTTGTTCTTGCCTATTTATCTTTTTGTATTATTGTTATCCTGTTTGTTTATTTGAAAGGCAGCGAGGCAGAGCGAAATCCCCTATCTGCTGGTTCACTTCCCGAATGCCTGCAATGACCAGACCAGGGCCGGGAGCCAGGAGCTCCGTCGAGGTCTCCCATGTTGGAGGCAGGGACCCAAGCCCTGGGCCGTCACCAGGGTGCGCAGTGGCAGGAGGCGGGGTCGGGCGCAGAGTCTCAAGCCCAGGCACTGTGCTAGGGCAGGCAAGAGTCCTAACCGGCATTTTCACCGGGCTCGGACCGAACACCTGGCTGCTGTGTAGCCTTTTTTTAAGCGACACTGATGGATCGTTTTTCAGGAGCCGGCCACTGTGCTTTGAAATTGGGAGGCTCACTGGTGCCAAGGGCAAGGCCAAGGCTGGGACACTCTTGTCTTCCAAATGAGCAGCTTTGGATGCCAGCCCCTCAACACCCCCGCTCCCACTTCTCTGCTGAACCCACTGTGTCTGACTCACCCTGAGCCTCCTGACTTCTCAGAGGGAGGATGTCCCTTGCCCGCCTTTTTTTTTTTTTAAGATTTATTTTATTTATTTGAAAGACAGAATTACAGAGAGGTAGAGAGGGAGAGAGGTCTTCCATCTGCTGGTTCACTCCCCAGTTGGCCGTGATGGCTGGAGCTGCGCCGATCCGAAGCCAGGAGCCAGGAGCTTCTTCCGGGTTTCCTACGCGGGTGAAGGGGCCCAAGGATCGGAAGTGGAGCAGCCGGGACTAGAACCGGCGCCCATATGGGATGCTGGAGCTTCAGGCCAGGGCTTTAACCCGCTGCGCCACAGTGCTGGCCCCTGCCCACCTTTTAAAGCAACAGGATCTCCCAGGCGCCTCAGACAAGCCTCTGTACAAGCATTCGTGGTGGTCCCCTCACATGGCGTCCCAGCCCACCATGTTCCTACGGGGGCAGAGTCCCCACAGCCACTAGGACTCCTGGGCATCCAGAGGGCAGGGCCGAGGGCTCTTGAGTCAGAGTTAGGGTCATACCTGGCACATAGTAAGTGCTCAGTGCAGTTGAATAAATGAGCTGATGGATTAGAGAGTTGGGAGCGAGCACTGAAACAGGAGTCCTCGGAGCCTGCTGGCCGGGGTCTATCTGTAGCTGGCCCCGTGACCTTGGACGAGGCGATTCCCATCTCTGAGCCTCAGTTTCCCCTCTGTGAGGAGAGGGTGATGATGCCACCTTCTCCTGCGCCCTCCTGTGGCGGGTGTAGAAATGTGCTTTGAAAAAAAAGACGCCTGAGAGCCCTCTACAAGACGGGAGGGGAGTCCAGTGCCTTTCCATGGAGAGCATGTTGTCTGAACCAAAACCTCGCCCCGTATCGGGACAGCTTGTGCTCTGCTTCCTAGGGGCAGCATTTGGGCACCAGAGGCCAGGGGCCAGTAAGAGATGATGTTGAATCCAGCTTTTCCTGGACGTCTGTCACCTCGATGTCACACCGTTGTAGAATGAATGGCAGGTCTGGAGGGCAGGTGTCCAGTCCCCAGGGTTACCCAGACTGAGTCCTGGACTAAACCCCAGGACTCCTGCCGCCACGCCCAGGGTGCTGGCACCCAAGGACAGGACCCCTGGAGAGGACCCAGAGAGCCCCAGGCGGGGATGAGGAGGCTGAGCCCACCGCCCTGCAGGCACCAGACTGTGACAGCCGGGGCAGGTGCACGGCCCTGTCCCCGCCATTGTGAAGAGACATATCATGCCTTGTGCAAGTCTTTATTTGCTCCGACAGCACAGCACAGGATTGAGGCTCAGATACCAGCCTGGGGAACCTGTGCCAACTCCTCACACCACTGGAAGAACACCAGTCCCAGGAGCACACCGAGTACCGAAGGTTCCCGCAAGCCAATCCACGGCCTGTGTCCTGCCTGCTGCCTGGAGGCCGTCCACCAATCACCCTCCTCTCTCCCTCCCCTTGCACAGAAGCAATAATCAAACGGAATGACTTTCAGAAACCCAGCTTTGCTGGGGTCTGAGGCCAGTCCTGTGGAAGTGCCCCAGCCTCTCCCCGCCTGGCCCCAGGCTCAACTGGCCATCCGTGTGCCTGGTGGTAATAAGATTTTGTTGGCCATCCCTCTCCCCTGCAGCCTCGTGTTCCAGGCTGTGTCCAAGGGCGTCGGACACCTGGGGGCAGCACCGCCGGCCCTGCCCCGGGGATATGGCCTGGCTGACTCCAGCTTTTGAAACCTTCAGCTGTGTAGAAGGCACAGCTTCTTAGACCCCACCTCAACCTTTGTGCTAATACAAAAGGCAGCCGGCTTTTCAAGATCTATACTGCCATCTGCTGGAAAATGATCGTCATAACTCTACCAAGCCCGCAATGCCCCGGGTAGGACTAGCACCTCCAGGGCTATGGTGCTCTTGAGCAGTGCACGCCTGTGTAGCTGTCCGGGTGGTCACCTGGAAATCGTCCTCCACTTCCTGAAAATTACTCTGATGTCACTACAATAACAGCAGACATGGGTGTGGCATCATGGAACTTGCATTTTTTTCTGAAAATAGCAGGTGGGAGAGGTGCAAGGCGGCAGCTTCATTTCTCTGATCGTAGAATTGTAGGACACAGGATGCTGAGCTCAGGGGTCCCAGGCCTATAGGTCTTCCCCCATCCGGGGGCCGCGGAGTCTCTGGGAAGCATCAACAGAGCATGAAGCAGTATTGGCCATTATCTGTTTGAATGCACACAGATATGCTGGCTGGAGATTAAACCAGAAATTATTTTTTATGACTAAGATTCATTAAAAACTAGCCACGAGGAAGGATGTCAGCGAAGACAAATCTGCAGGCTGGCCTGGAATGCAAGATCCGGAGAGGAAGGGGGCACACGCAGGGTGCAGCGGCAGGCTGGGGGCAGGCGCTGCAGGGGGCGCCATGCTCCCCTAGCCCCCGGGGGCCCGTGTGGATGTCCCCAAACACAGCCTCCGCAGGTAGCTTCGAGGGAGGCGCCTGCGCGTGTTTGCCCACAGCTCCGGTCTCCTGTCCTCTCCGTGAAGCCTGGGGTTGGGACAGCAGGAAGCAGCTTTGGGGGCCCTGGCTCACACCGTGAGCTGTGTGGCTGTGTGTCAGGAGCTCTTCTTTTTCTTTTTCTTTTTTTTTTTTTAATTTATTTATTTGAAAGTCAGAGTTACACAGAGAGAGGAGAGGCAGAGAGAGAGAGAGAGAGAGGGGTCTTCCATTCAATGGTTCACTCCCCAGTTGGCCGCAATGGCTGGAATTGAGCTGATCTGAAGCCAGGATCCAGGAGCTTCCTCCAGGTCATCCCACATGGATGCAGGGGCCCAAGGCCTTGGGCCATCTTCCACTGCTTTCCTAGGCCACAGCAGAGAGCTGGATTGGAAGTGAACCGGCACCCATATGGGATGCTGACACTTCAGGCCAGGGTGTTAACCTGCAGGGCTCTCAATCTGGACTTTGGCTCTCAGGACTCGTGATGTTCTGGGAGAAGAAAGAGAACGTAGGTTTCAGCCCCAGCCACACCCCACACCCGCTGCACCTCTGCCTGGGCTCACACGCCACCTCCTGCCCCTCCTTTCTCTGCAGCTGCAGCCCCTCCCCCAAAGGTCACACTCCATGCCCACCTCCTCCTGGAAGCCTCCCAGGATCACAGAGCCTTCTCATCTACCTCAGCCACACGTTATTTTGAGATAGAACCTCGCTATGTGTGTGTGATTTCAATTTCACGACAGCTGGAGCTGGGAGCCACGCAGCAGGAGCCGTGAAACCATAACCAAAAAAACGTGAGTGCACGTGGACCACAGAATCTACCAGATTCGACCTTTTCATTCCATTTCCACGGACTTTTTGAAGTTCCCCTGTAGTAGCCCATCCAATGTTCCGTGACATCCCAAAATGGGATACTGTACATAGATTTTGGAGACCAGAGTCAAATAAAGAAGTGCTAATTGTCGTAAGGTACGTGTGAAACCAGCGAGGGTTCAGACAGGAAAAGGGCCCTGGTGGCTTAGGGTTGTGTCTCAAGGCCTGCAGGGAGGTAGCGTTTGAGCTGGACTCTGAACTTTCTGACTCAGCCGGGGAGGGGCGAGGACAGTGGATCCCACTGGAAGCTGCCTACCAGTCGTGTCACACCCTCCCCTGTGCCACCGGCTCTCCCACCCTCTCTTACCAGCTGGCCCTCCGTGTGCGGGAAGTGGGCATAACTGTGTTGGCAGCAGTGGCCCCTGGAGCCCATGAGTCTGCAGCTGGCGTGGCTGTGGTTGCCAGCAAATTTGTTAGCCAAGCTCAAGACAAACGGGTAGGGTTTCCCGACGAGGCTCCGAGCCGAGCCGGGGGAGGGGGCCTCCTGGCTGCGCAGGGTGGCCACCAGCGTCCTGAGAGAAGAATCTGGAAACTCATAAAAAACCATCTTGAGGCTAGGGTGCCGCCTGATCTGGAAGCAGAAATAAAGACGGCCCATCAGGGTTGCTGGCAGGGGCCCCGCCCCCTGGGCACCCGCTGGTCCCCAGGATGGGCTCCGCTTGTTAGCAGAGGCCTCCCCCAGGGGCCTGAGCTGCTCTCTGTGGAGGGCTCAGCATAGAACAGCCCTGGGTGGGTTCTAGTTCCCCCCGAACGTGCCAGGTGGGCTTGTCCCCGGGGCAGCCCCACAGACAAGGCCCTAGCATGCTTAGTCTGCTTTTGTTAAGTGACCCTGGGAAGGGCACAGGTGGAGCTTACACACGGGGAGCCAGCACAGAGCCCCTACCTTGGAGTGACACTGCCCAAGGGCTAGGGAGCTGGGGTCTTTATGCAGGGGAGGGCGGTGGCCCAAGAGCTCTAGGGCCCCAGGCAAAAGGATGCAGGGGCTGGCGGGCGGGAGTTGGGCTGCACTGGTGAGCGGGCAGCACACCCCCTGCTGGCGGCTCTGGGTGTGTCTCGCCAAGGGGCAGGCAGCTTTCTGTGGCAGGCAGGGGAACACCTCCAGCCATCAGAGAGCTGAGGTGTGTGGCTGGCAGAGAGGAGGGAAGAGGAAAGGCCGGGCGGGATGGGGTGGGGCCAGGCCTAGGCTTCCAAGGAGGCGGGCTAAGCAGCAGTGGGGGATGGGGGGGGGGGTCCTGGCTGTCTGCGGACGCCACCTGTGCGTTGCATCATTTGAAGCCAACGTTTGCCTTATCTGCCATGTATCTGGCATTCTCTGTGCATGCACTAAGTAGGCCGTGAGTCCCCCTTTTGCCAAAGAGGAAGCTGAAGTTCAAGGAGGTGCAGCGGCCCCCAGAGAGGCAGATGTCTGAGCTCAGATGCGGGGTCTGGACAGATGAGGCCCTGGGCGGGGCTGGGCAGGAGGGGGCGCCACTCACCTGCTTCCCCAGCTGGCCGTCCCACGCTTGGAGAAGGGCCACCAGCTCCCGGACCAGGAGCTCCTCTACGGCAGAGAAGACGGAGTTAAGGGACTGAGTGATGCCCCGGTCCACTCCCGCGACACCTGCTACAACCGCACAGGACGGCCTGCAGCCACACTCAGCTGCCTGTGGCAGATGGGGACCTCCGTGCCAGGACTGAGACGAGGAACAGCAGACCTGCCATGGCTACTGACACAGCAGAACGTGCCCACCCCGCCCCCTGGGTTGGACTTGGCCAAGGTAGAAATATGTATGCTCCAGCATTCTGCACACCCTATGTGTGGGGCCTTCCTCCCTCTGCACACCCCCAGCCTGCCTGCCAGCACACCACTGCCCTGGAGACCAGGGCCAGCCAGGATGTCACTGGAAACCTTCAACACGCCAGTGGGGTGGCCAGCACACTGGCGATCTGCAACCCTCGAGCAAGCCACTGCCGCCCCATCCAGCGACAGCCCACGGAAGGCACAGGTGCGAGCTGCCCACGAAGGAGCCTCCACTCGCAACTCTGCTCCCACAGCCCCCATCCAGAGGCCAGGCCCAGGGCCCCACCCCTATTCTAGAGTCTTCTGGGGTACTGGCCGGCGGCCCTTCCAGCCGCCCCCTCGGAAATGTTCCCCGTCCACCCTGGGAAAGCACCCAGGAACTGTCCTAAGCAGAGCAGGGCGGGACTCACTGGATCCATGCGTTTCGTCCAGCGGATGTCCCCCTTCCGCCTTGTGGCTTCCGGCCTGGGGAGCTGCTTCTGAGAAGCTAGCTGGAGCCCTTGCTGCAGGCGAGCATGCCTGGAACTCGGGGTCTTCGGAATCTGATGAAAACAAAGGTTGGGTGAGTGTTTCGTGCTGGTCTCCAATGCACAGTGCAGAGCTGCGTCTGGGCCGGAGCAGCTGCTGTTGGGGGCACGGGCAGGAGAGGGCTCCAGGCTTACGGGCCCCACACAGAGGGGCCACGGTGCTCTCTTTTCTCCTCTTCAGAAATCTGGCTTTCGTCCAGCGCCCCCTCTGCCTCCCACAGCCCGAGAGTGGGGCAGTGAGAAAAGCAAGCAGGGGGCAATGGGTCCCACCAAGTAGCCCGTTCCCCCGTCCCTCCTCAATGCTTGCTGAGCCTGTCCGAGCCTCACTTCCTCCATCTGTCTAATGGGAGTCATGAGATGGACCTCACAGGGTTGTGAGCCGGTCAGATGTGACAACATGTGTCAAAGGGGCCCGGAGCCAAGTGTCAGGGGGACCGTGGACGCCAGTGGTTCTCACGCTTTGATGCAGTAGAAAAAGCAAGCAAACAAAAGCATCAGAGAGAGAGGCCCAGGTCTTGTCGGCTGCTTTAGTTTCCCTGCTAGCTTCCCAGGGGGTTCTCTCTAAAAAAAATATTTTTTTCATTCATTCATTCATTTGAAAAAATTACAGAGAGAAAGGGGAAGACAGAGAGCTCTTCCATCTGCTGTTCACTCAATGGCTGCAGCGGCCAGGGCTGGGCCAGACTGAAGCCAGGAGCAATCACCCAGGTGTCCCACGTGGATGCAGGGACCCAAGCACTTGGGCCAGTCTCTGCTGCTTTCCCAGACCATTAGCCGGGAGCTGACTCGGAAGTGGAGCAGCCGGGACTCAAACCAGCACCCGTGTGCTGGTTAGGCAGCAGCTTAACCCACCGTGCCACAGCGCCTTCCCCCCAGGGGGTTCTGACAGGTGCGGGGATCTCACACCAGGTGTGTGGAGGGAGGGAGGAGGACGTGTGTGGGGAGCCCTGGGTCCTGCCTTCAGCAGAACCTTCTCTTCTCCCTCTCTCTCTCCTCTGCCTCGCTCTCCCCGCGCTGCCCACAGCTCAAGGCAGAAGTCAAGACTCAGCCACCCTGGGGCCACCCCTGCCCTGGAGGAAGCCTCCGTTACCATGGCAATGCCCTTCTCACCCTCCCCCCGCCTGCTCACCAAAGCTGCCGGACACGGAGGGCCGGTGGCCTCCAACACACAGGGGCAGAAAGCCGGGCCTCTTGGGCGGCCGGGGGTCCGGGCTGCTGGCAGCTGCGGCCCCTGCCCTCTTGGGCTCCTTGGAGCCATGCCTCTTCTGAGCGAAGGCCTTCTTGCGTGTGGACTTTTTCTCGTGAGATGTGCTCCTGCAGGGCGGGGCCTCTTGGACTTGAAACCGCTGTGGGGAGATGCGAGAGGCTGAGTCAGGGCCCCACCTGGAGGCTGCAGGTGAGCTGGGGGAAGAGAACACTTCGGGCTGGAGGGTGCGACCCAGAGAGGAGAGTGGCAGGTGCTCGGTGCCCGGGGGGGAAACCAGTGCAGCCTTCAGGGAGCTGGGATGGAGGCTGGCTCGGGCGGGGCACCGAGCAGAAGGGGGCAGGGGAGCTATTCTGCCAGGCAGGGAGGGGGCTCCTCACCTCTGCCCCCTGCCCCTCCACGTCTTGAAGGAGGGCAGTGATCTTCCGGATGAATTCCTCTACAAAAGACCAAAGAACTCGCTTAGTTGCAGCGCTTGGGAAAGCTTTGCAGCCGGCCGTCTTCGTGCGGAAGGACAAATCGCCTCCATGGGTGGGTCTCCCAGGCCGTGACCCCTGCCCTCCTGGGCGCTGAGGTCCTGCAGCTGGCTCTCTGGGAGCTGACTGGGGGCGGCCGCTAGGGGCGCCACTCCGGCTGTGCGATGAGCAACGTTAGCCTCCCGTTCACATTACAGGAAACCAAAGCCAGAGAAAAAGTGAGTTGCCCCAAGTTCGCACAGCTCCCAGTGGCCAGATGCAAACCCAGACCTCCAAGGTGGCCGCATGCAGCGAGCTCTGTGCGGCCAGCACCTTCACCAACGGCCTCGTGACTGGCTCAGCAAGGCCGGCGCCGTCACCAATGTTGCACGCCGTTTGAGGCTCAGGCTGAGACAGACGGGCGGGGAGGGGATGCTCTGGGCCCGTGTTGCTTCCCGCCCGAGGCTCTCAGGAGAAGGTGAGGACAGTGCAGGAGCCAGGCATGCAGTTTCGGGGGCGGGGGAGGCTCTGAGCAGAGGAGGGCGGTACTGACTGGATTCTGAGGCTCTGTCCAGCTGCAGCGCCGCTTCGGATCCCTGAAGTCCTGCCGGGGTGGGAAGCGCAGACGGGCTCGGACTTCCGCCACCTGCAGGCTGTGCCTCGGGTTCTTGCAGGCCTGAGAAGCAAAATGAGACCGCCGGTGGTGTCGGGGTCAGACTGCAGCGGGGGCCTGGCTGAGCTACCCGGGAGCCGGGGGCGGGGCGACCTACCGGCCCACAAGCTCCCAGTGCATTTGCGCTCCTGTAGAACCAGCTCTGGGGAATTTGCTGCCCTCTCCTCCCTCCCCAGGCACCCTCAATCTTCACTATTTTGGCTTTGTCCACAAGGTGAAGAGCAGGTGCCTGATTCTGTGGCTTCAAGTAGGATTATGGCCAGAGTCCTCTGCAGGACATCTGTCCCCAGGTGGCATGAGCCCTGCCACTGGGGACAGACTCTGGTCCCCTCTTTCGCCCAGCCAGGAAGGCCTGTTATTGTCCCTCCTGACACCCTGGAAGAAGCAGGTGGATCCTGTCTCCCTGTGGCCGGATACTGATGAGCCACGTGACCTTGGACACATCAGCCTCAGTCTCCCCACATGTAAGATGGGGTGATAATTGGACTTTCTGAGATGGTTGTGAGAACTGGTTGAGATACAGATATGCAGTGGGAAATGTCTTCTTTCACAGACAGAGAAACTGAGGCACGGAGATAGGGAGGAAGTGGGACGTGCAGCTAGGATCCAGGTCCTAGCTCCTTCCTGCACACAATGCCCCCCCACCAGGGGTCAAAGGTGAGTCTGTGGGGGGGTGAGAGGTGGGACTTATCCAGGCTGTCAGGATCACAGAGGGGCTGTGCTTGGAGGAGCCCTGCTGGCCATCATCCTCTCCTTCCCCTCCCCTCCCCACGCAGCTCAGGGCCCCCTGCAAAAGTCAGAACGGGAATGGCCACCCTTCTGGGGGCCAGTTCCAGCCCTGGGGATGTTGCTATGGCCACCGCGAGCCTGCTCACCTGGGCTGCCAGACACCGAGGGCCGGTGGCCACCAACACACAGGGGCAGAAAGCTGGGCCTCTTGGGCGGCCGGGCGTCTGAGCTGGAGCCGTCTGCAGGCCCCGCCGCCCTGGGCGCCTCGGAGCTGGGCTTCCTGGGAGAGAAAGCGCTCTTGAGGCTGGACTTCTGCTTCCTGAGAGCGCGGGCCTGGGGGAGAGGAGAGAAACTGAGTCAGGCCCCTCACCTGGGAAAAACCCGAGGAGCGGCCACGACTGCAGGGCGGCTCCAGGCTGGGGCGGGGTGAGCTGGGCTTGAAGGACAGGACAGGAGGGGCCGGAAGCAGGGCGCGGAGGAGGCAGGGAGCCGCGGGGGTCCCCCCGCACCCCGCCCTCACCTCCTCTTCCAACTGGTCTCCCACTCTTCTGAGCAGCCGCACGATCATCTGGATCACCGCCTCCTCTGTAAGACAGCACACACCCGGTCACCCTTCCAAAGGATGGCCTCGGCCTGCACCTGCGGCGGCTCCCAAGGCCATGGGAAGCGGGGACAGCATGGCTCCCGGGGGCCGGTCCTTTCAAGAGCAGATTGGGAGACCCTCAGCGAAAGTGGGACGTTTGATGCAGGCACTAGCAGGCCAACCATGCTGGCACTCATCTTGAGCCTGCTACTTCGTCACACTCCGCAGATGCCTTTTGGCAAGCTGTGTGACCTTAGGTAAGTCTGTCAGCCTCTCTGGGCCTTTATCTCTTTCCCTTCTGAAAGGAGGCTCATCATCCCTGTCCTGGCACCATCAGCAGGCTGCCAGGGGCCGGGCCTGGCAACACGTAGCAAGGCCAGTGCTGACTGCCCAACCCGCACATTTCCAGTGGGGGCATAGTGGGTACCTGGCCTAGCTCAGGTGGAGGACACAGGGACATCAGCAGACGGGGCACAGAGAGCACAGCTGTGCCGCCTCCACCGTGTTGCCAAGCCTTCGAGCAGAGGCCACGAACCATGGAATAGGGTCCTTTCATGCCCTGGCCGACCCGCTCCGGGGCCACTGCCCACTGTCCTCTGGCACTGCGAGCATTTGTGCTTACACCGGGAGAGGCAAACACGGTTCCCAAAGACCCCCAGGCTGTCCGCAGCGTTCTCTGCACCCTCACTGCCCTCCTTCAGCTCCCTCTCACTTGTGCGTACTGTCTGGCTTATTACAAAATGGTTCTATGATTTTTTTTAAAAAAAGATTTATTTTATTTGAAAGTCAGAGTTACACAGAGAGAGAGGCAGAGAGAGAGAGAGAGAGAGAGGTCTTCCATCTACTGGTTCACTCCCCAGATGGCTGCAATGACCAGAGCTGGGCTGATCTGAAGCCAGGAGACAGGAGCTTCTTCCGGGTCTCCCATGCAAGTACAGGGGTCCAAGCACTTAGGCCATCCTCCACTGCCTTCCCAGGCCGTAACAAAGAGCTGGATTGGAAGTAGAGCAGCCAGGTCTCAAACCAGCGCCCATATGGGATGCTGGCACAGCAGGGGCTATGGCATTTACCCACTGCCCCACAGTGCTGGCACCAGTTCTATGATTAAAACGATACCCACACAAGGGATTTCATAAAGCTCATGGAAAAAAAAAACGAACTAAAAGTTCATTTTGGCCGGCGCCGCAGCTCAACAAGCTAATCCTCCGCCTAGCGGCGCCAGCACACCGGGTTCTAGTCCCGGTCGGGGCACTGGATTCTGTCCCGGTTGCTTCTCTTCCAGGCCAGCTCTCTGCTATGGCCCGGGAGTGCAGTGGAGGATGGCCCAAGTGCTTGGGCCCTGCACTCCATGGGAGACCAGGAGAAGCACCTGGCTCCTGCCTTTGGATCAGCGCAGTGCGCTGGCAGCGGTGGCCATTGGAGGGTGAACCAACGGCAAAAGGAAGACCTTTCTCTCTGTCTCTCTCACTGTCCACTCTGCCTGTCAAAAAAAAAAAAAAGAGTTCATTTTAGTGGCTGCCGTTATGGCGTAGTGGGTAAAGCCGCCACCTGCGGTGCTGGCATCCCATATGGGTCCAAGTTCATGTCCTGGCTGCTCCACTTCTGATCCAGCTCCCTGCTAATGGCCTGGGAAAGCAGCAGAGGATGACCCAAGTGCTTGGGCCCCTGTACCCACGTGGGAGTCCAGGAAGAAGTTCCTGGCTCAGACCGGTTTAGAAGACTAAACTGAAAAGTCTCGTTGGGCCTGCGCTGTGGCGCAGCGGGTTAAAGCCCTGGTCTGAAGGGCTGGCATCCCATATGGGCACCAGTTCTAGTCCCAGCTGCTCCTCTTCCAACCCAGCTCTCTGGTATGGCCTGGGATAGCAGTAGAAGATGGACCAAGTCCTTGGGTCCCTGCACCCATGTGGGAGACCCAGAAGAAGCTCCTGGCTCCTGGCTTCAAATTGGCACAGCTCCAGCGGCCATCTGGGGAGTGAACCATCAGATGGAAGGCCTCTCTCTCTCTGGTTCTACCTCTCTCTCTAACTCTTTCAAGTAAATACAATAAATCTTAAAAAAAAAAAAAAAAAAAAAGTCCCGTTACCACCTAAGGCAGAAGCATCTGCCAGCAGTCTTTCCAAACCGAGAGACTCCCTCCTGGGAAACCCTAAAATAAGTCAGCGTGGCCACAGCACGGGGAGAGGCGAGAGGGACCAGCGGCCCGGGCTCAGCGACCATTCCGAACGATTGGCTTATCCCAGCACTGCCCTGGCCGCAGGGACAAGGACTCACGGTCGGGCTTCGTGAGCGCCTCTTCTTGCCGGTGATCTGTGGCTTGGGGACAGACGTCTGCGGCTCCAGCACCTTCCCCTTCGGTGAGCAAGGACTGATGGAGTTGGTCATCTTCCCCACCTGGAACCCAGAGGAGAGCAGGTGGCGGTGTGCGCGGGGCGGGGACATGCTCCTGGACTGTTCATCTGCGGGAGCGCAGAACCCCAGCACCCTGGGGGCATGGCCAAAGCTGGCATTTGAAAAACAGCAGCCCCTGCTCAGGCATCCTTCTCACTGCCCCTCTCCCTAGTCCTGGAGCTTCCTGAGCTCGCCTCAGGGAAGCTCCATCTTCCTGCAGCTGCGGTGGGATTTCAGCTCCAGGGCCCAGGAGTCAGGCCAGGGAGGCACCCTGGGGACCGGCTGTCTCACTGGGGGGGTCAGCCACTTTCTCAAGGTCACACAGCAAGTTCACTCCTGATGGAGCCAACTCTAGGACCAGGGTCTGCAGCCAGCTGGGTGATGGCTTTCTCCTCTCTCCCCCTTCCCATTTCTCCTGGGTCTGTTGCTGGCCCCAGGCCACACAGCTGGAGAAGGGAGGCCCTGCCAGCCATCAGCCCTGGTGCTGAAAATGTCACAGCAGTGCTGTCCCCAGCAGTCCCCCTTTCCCTGTCCCCCCTGGTGCTGGGCAGGGTGGTGGAGCCGCCAGGCGCAGTATGCTCACCTCCGTGAGCCGGGCTCAGCCTGGGCCGCCCTGCCTGTTGGTCTCCAGCCTCCATGTCTTGAGTCCCGTTGGTTTCCTCAGGGCTGGGTTTCTTAGAGCCAGATTTCCTGCGGCTGGCCTTCGTGTCCTGGACTTTCTTCCTGCAGGCTGGTTCCCCTGCAGCCTCTGGGGGCTCTGAGGCCTGGGGGAAGCCCTCCTTCCCTCTTGGCCTCCTGCTGGCCTTTTCTTTGGGCTCCTCGGACGCCCTCAGCAGGAAGCTCAGGAGTGTCTTTAACCATCTCGGCTGGGCCCACCACCTCGGGGCCTTGTCTCTCTTGGCGTCTTGTGGGGGCCTCTGCTCTCCCATGTCTTCCGGAGGCAGGGCTGCTGACCCCACAGACAGAGCCGGGCTCTCAGGACCCCTGGCGCCATCGCTGGCCGTCCGGCGGAGCGCCCTCCTGGGTGAGGCGGCCAGGGAGAGGTTCCCTGATGTGCAGCCCCTCGGCGGGGCCTTCGGCCTGTCCAGAGACCGGGTTCTCCTGGCTGCCGGGGGCTTCCTCGGGCCCCGCTGGTTCTCCATGGGCTGCAACGAAAGCAAAGAGCCGCCTCAGGAGAGGCCCACTGGACACGGGCGGGGGGCCCTCCCGGAAGGGGGTGTCCCCGTCCCTGCTCTCGGTGGGGGAGATGGGACCACGGGGAGGCAGTGCCCCCATCTCACAGCGACTTGGCAGCCCCTCCTGGGATGCCAGCAGGACGCCAGCCCCGGCCACGCCTGGGTTCAGTCCTCAGACACTGATGCGGACTGGGGCCCCCAGAACTGCACGGTGCCTCTTTCCTGTTGCTCTGAGGCGCCGAGTGTGTGCGATTCTGTGCCGGCGCAGCCTCGGGGAACAGACCCCTTCCCCGCCCTGGGGAGCTCTGGCACCTCTGCCGGCCTCGCGTCCTCATCGGAAACGTGCCCCACCCCTGTCCTGTGCGTCTCCCGGGCTGCCGGGGGCATTTTACGGCTGGGCTCGGGCCACGCCAGCTCTGCACCTGCAACTGAAAACCTGCCATCTGCCCTGACTCTGTTCTCTCCCTTCCACGGCTGAGCCAGCTGTAGGGCTTCCCGCCTCACTCCAATGCCCGTCTCCAGCTGTGCTCACCTGGGCGATCACACTGGCTCCTGCGGGGGGGTCTCCCTCCTCTCCTCTTGCCCTCCTCCCAGGAGCCCCTCCCTCCAGCAGCCCCAGGGGCTCCCTCCCTTCTGGGAGCTCCTGCACTGGCCATGGCCCCCTGGGCCATCACCTCCCCCTCCCCTCTCCCTTAGCCACCCCACCATGCCTGCTTGCTGTCGCTCAGTCCCGCTCCACCTCCTGGCCTTTCTTCTGGCCGGTCCCTCTTTCTAGAACATTCTTTTCTCAGAAGCCAAGGATATATTCAAATGTCTCCTGCTCCTGGAGGCCCTCCCTGGCCACTGCCTCTGAGCGCTCCCTCTGCCCGCCCCCCACCTGCCGCGGTGCGAGATGGGGCACTGAAGCCCCCCTGCCTTTGGTCCGTTCTGCCAGGTCTTGCATCCTCAGCGCCCACAACAACGTCCCCGGCAGACTCCTTGCTCCATGAACAGGTACATGTGTAACGCTGAAGCGTTCAGTAACCCGTGCGACCCACTGTGCGTCCGGGCTGGGCCCATGTGAGAGGCCCTTCTGCTCCCCACGAGGAGCCAAGCGGCTTCCAGGGGAACCGGGGAGAGAACCGCCTGTTCCGGCGGCGTCTCCTGCAGGCATGGGTGTGGGCGGCGCCCTGGGGTGCGTGTCTTTTGTCCCCCAGGCTGCTCAGAAACCTTTGCTCCTTAATGGGCCATAAAAGAAAAACAGGATGTGGGTTAGAATCCCTAACCTGTGCTCCCAGGCAGCCGTGCAGTTAGGCCAGGGGGTCATCTACGCTGATTCCCCACTGTGGTTTTTCCTGTGTTGATGAAGGTGATTTAGTGGTAGGGGCCGTAAATGTTTTTACGTCATATCCCCTGCCTGTGCGAGGTGATTCATCTACTCTGAAATGTACCCCCTTGTTATGTCCAGCACAGAGGTGTGAAGCGGGCTTCCCATATGAACCCTGGCTTGAATCCTGGCCGTACCACTTCCCATCCAGCTCTCTGCTCATGTACCTGGGGAGGCAGCAGAAGGTGGCCCAACTGCTTGGACCACTGCTACCCTCAGGGAGACCTGGAGGATGCTCCTGGCTTCTGGTAGATGGAAGACCTCTCTCTATATATTTCTGCCTTTCAAATAAATAAATAATTTTTTAGAAAAGCTGCCATCACTATGGAGATGGTTTGCAGCATGGCTGATGGCCGCAGTGTCCCCTGCCCCATTCCAGGAACACCTGTGCCTCCTAATCCGAGCATCATGCAGCTGCACCAGAAAATGCTCTTCCTTCTTTGTGTTTTTTCAAGAAAACGGACTGATTTGCCCACCGCCTCCCTCGAAGAACCCAGATCCTCGGCCCAGAGGAAGGCGAAGGCCATTGCAGCTCCATTGCTCACCCTGAAGGTGCCCTGTCTGATTCCCCTTCCTGCTGTGACCAGCGCAGCCCAGCTCCGCCCACCTCTCTGAATGCCCCACCCCCTAGCTGCCCTCATGGAAGCCAGGAGAAGCACCGGTTTCCATAGCAACACCTCCCCGTGCACACAAGCCACAGCGACGTCTTCCTAGGCTTTCTGAACGACCATTTCCAGAATTCATCAAAGCAAGGCTTTCCTTTCCTTTCCTTGTTGTCTGTCTGTGCCTCACGGGGACTCCCTCCTGTTGGAAACAGTCCCCCCCCACCACCTGGGCTGATACACCTAGGCAGCAGCACAGCCTCACTGCCTGGGCTCCCAGCTGCTCTCGGGAAATTGTGGATGGCCTTGACAGAGAGTGGTTTTCAGAGCAAAGTCCACACCGGCTCAGAAACACCCCAGGGACTTCTGATAAGACAGGGCAAGTCCCATCAGCAGTCAGCAGAGAGAAAGCTGACCCCAAGCAGGAAGCCGGCCTGTTTTCCTTGTCATGCAGCTGTTTGGTTTGCTTCTGAATTGCACGTTGACCTCATCCCTGTACTGGTTTCTAATGGGTGCACCTGGCCGGGTTCCCCTCTCTGACCTCACAGAGATCCTTCACCGCGCCCCTCCCAGCCCTGTCCCTCACTCAGTAAATATAACAGCCAGCTGGCTACACACCCACCAGCTGCACTAAGGGACCGTGCGTGTGGCACTCACGTGTGGACCCACAGCCCACACCCAGCCGTGTGTCACAGGAGCACACTGCTGCACAGTCTCAGAAACCCAGGGCTGGGGCCGGCATTGTGGTGCAGCAGGTAAAGCCACTGCCTGCAAAGCCACTGCCTGCAAAGTCGGCATCCCATACAGGTGCCGGTTTGTGTCCTGGCTGCTCCACTTCCCATCCAGCTCCCTGCTAATGGCCTGGGAAAGCAGTGGAAGATGGCCCAAGTGCTTGGGGCCCTGCACCCACGAGGGAGACCTGGAAGAAGCTCCTGGCTTCCTCCTGGCCCAGCCCCAGCCATTGTAGCCATCTGGGGAGTGAACCAACAGAAGGAAAACTCTCTCTCTCTGTCTCTCTCTTACACACACACACACACACACACACACACACACACACACCTCCATCATTCTTTCAAAAAAAAATCTTAAAAAGGAAAGAAGCCCAGTGTTTCTCCCCCAAATCAATGGGTGACCGCCACCACCTTGCTGCTTGCCACTTGCCCCCCTGTCCGTGTTCTGTTCTGTGACAGCAGATCCAGGTCTTGTGGCTCTTCACTGCGGCCTGCGCCTGGGAGGCCTTCAGCATCTGTGGAATGCGTAGGCGATACACAGACACAGAGCAGCCCAACTCCGCGAGCCCTTTCCTCTCCATTGACTCACTGAAACTTTGCTGTGAGACAAGAGGCCCTAAACTATACAAGACTCCCCCAAGGTCCCACAGAAAGCCAGCAAAGGGTTGGGACTGGAATCCACCTATCTAAGATTTTAAGCCTATCTTTTTGCTCCTACCCCAATTAGCTTCCTGTAAACGCAGACACGTGCACACAGGTGAGCAAATCTGCTGTCTCATGCCACCCGAGAGAGCCACACCCACACACACCCACTGTGACCTGTGGCTGTGGAACCACACGTGCACACACGCGCACATGAATGCAGGGTGAGGCTCCCCGATCCCTGGGCAGGAAGCCAGGTGGAGGGCCAAGGGCTGTGCCCTGAGCTCGGGTTCTACTTCTCACGGCCACACTCAGGAGCCCGGGGGGACAGCTGTACCACTTGGAGCAGAACCAGACCCCCGTCCTGGTGTGGCTCCGTCCATAGCCCTCACTTCCTTGCATACCGGGCTGGCCTGGGTGACAAGTGGTCACCTCCGCCCTCAACGCTGGACCCCTTCTGCTCCTGCACCTCCTACGAGAACATTGTATTCCAGCAGGCAGCCGTACAACCTCTGTTGCGTCATTTGCAACAGGGGGAATTCGCCCCCTTCCCAGGTAGAGCATGCCACTGTGGCCAGCCTGGATTTTAAGGAAAATCCACCTCGGGCTGAGACAAAGTCGGCAGTGGTCCCCCCATCGTTACTCCTCCCTGCTCCAGCCCAACACCTGGTTGCCTAGGACTCTTGGCGGCTCCTAAACCAGGTTGCTTCTAGACCCATCACCCTCCCCTACCCCCAAGCCCTCATCTGAGAGCAATGGAGTCTTCCATGAGATCTGCTGTCCTTAGATTACTTCCAAGGACCTTAACCACCCCAGAACCTAATCCTCCCTCTAGCTGGATGATTCCTTTGCTACGCACCACCACCCAAAGCCTGCGACAGAATCCCTACAACAGCCCACGGGAAACCCACAGGAGCCACGTGGAATGCTGTCCCCATTCTGCAGCTGAACAAACTAAGGCCCGAGGAAGTGAAGCATCTTGCTCACGGCGGGGGGGGGGGGGGGAGTTGGGGGGGGTTGGGCAGCTGATGGGCCAGGCTGGGATTTGGTTCAGAGCTTTCAAGGACAAGCTACTCTGGGGTTCTCTGAGCGACCCCTGTTTGAGATCACATCCATGAACTCTGCTCCGTCTTTCTAGAAAAAAAGCAAACTGAGGCTTGGGGGTGGGGGGCCCAGCAAGCTGGCAGCAGAATTGGAGTGGGATTCAGAGCCCGACCCCTTCCTTCTAGAACAGCAGCGAACCCACTCACAGCCCATCCCCAGAGAAGCAGGCGTTGTTCAGCCAACCTTAGATCCCAGAAGCCGCTCAGGTCCTCGATGCTGGGGGCTGGGGCCTCTAGACCAGGGCCCTCTGTGTCAGGCAATGCTCCTTGTCGGCTGCAAGTGGTGTCCGGCGCGGGCTCGGGAGCAGCTCTTGCCGGGAGAAGGTGCTGGCGATTTTCAGAGAAGACGCTCTGGCCGTATATATCCTAGCTCCCAGGAGCTGAGGTCACAGGCAACCAATCCTGGGAGCCAGGGGCCAGCCCGGCCGCCTCCACCTGTCGCCGCCCAGCCCAGGGCTGCCTCCCGCTTCTCTGGGGACGAGAGGCTGAGCTCAGCTACCCTGGAAAACAGCAGTTTCACTCCACGACTTCCTTATTGTCCCCAGGCCCCAGAAAGCAAGCAAAGCTCAGACAACAACCTCGTGCCTGGCTGGGGAAGGCCCAGCCTGTGGTATTGAAACCCGGGTGGGGGCGGGGAGCCAGGGCTGCCTCCTCACCGCCACACCCTCCCTCAGTTCTCCCTGAACATCAGCGGGGACGGATGGATCTAGAAAGAAAGGTTGTTGGTGGAAAAATACATTTCATGACCTGAAGACAAAACCTGGAAGGGCTGATAAGGATCCTGCCACCCCTGGATAGGGTGGCTGTGAATCTTGGGCGACCACTATACGTTTTTGTTTTGTTTTGTTTTTTAAAGGTTTTGTTTATTTATTTGAGAGGTAGAGTTATAGTGAGAGGGAGAGGAGGCCAAGAGAGAGGTCTTCCATCTGCTGGTTCACTCCCTAGATGGACACCATGGCCGGAGCTGCGCCGATCCAAAGCCAGGAGCCAGGAGTTTCCTCTGGGTCTCCCATACAGGTTCAGGGGCCCAAGGGCTTGGGCCATCTTCTACTGCTTTCCCAGGCCACAGCAGAGAGCTGGATCAGAAGAGGAGCAGCCGGGACCAACTGGCGCCCATATGGGATGCTGATGCTTCAGGCCAGGGCGTTAACCCGCTGCGCCACAGCGCTGGGCCTGATTTTGTTTTATAGAGAGCACTTGCATGTTTATAATCAGAAAAGGAACATGGGCTTTACCTAAATGAAAACAAAAAATAGTTAGACATCTCATTTTGGTGATTGACAGGGAAGGCATTGCAAAATAAATATGGTAGCCCTGCGGTCGGGAGCTGCCCGTACCTGGGACCCTCTGCTGGCTGTGTGACCTCAGGCAGGGGCCACAAAGTCTCTGAACGTTCTCACTTACCAAACCAGCAGTCACGTTGGAGATCACGTGCCATCACGCTTGTAAGGAGAAGAAACTGTGCTGAGTGCCAGACACTTTTCTGTGCGCTCCCAGCACTTGGCAAATCCGCACCAGCAGGTGATGGTTTTATGGCGTGGAGCAGAGTTATCCAAGCTTCACTCACTCCGCCACCCAGCAGCCTTGGGATCCAGCTCTGGGCAAAGCGCTGTCTCAGCAATGCATTTAGGGAAGGCCTTAGCCCAAGGGTGACCCGGGCTTCGGCCTTGGGTTAGGTAATCTTATGCTGGTGAGCCAAGCCCTCCTCCCGTTCTCTCGAATCCTGTGTGTTCGTGTGAGGTTCTCTTTCTTATTCAGAGGGGAAGAAACCTGGCTTAGTTCTGCCTTGGTGGAGTCCACAGGGCGGTGAGAAGAGAGAAAGGCACAGAAATATTACCCAGGCAAGGAAGGGAAGGGTCACTGCTTCATGGCAGGAGAATGGCAAGTGCCAGAAACAGACACACTCAACACCCCTGCCCGGGCCAGGCTCATCAAAACTTTCATGCAAAATGCAGATTATTATTAAAAAAAAACTTTTTGCACCTAAATAAACTTCTCTTTGAATCCTATTTCCCATTATCCTCATACTCTTAAACATGGCTGGCACAGCTGACTTTATGTCGTGAGTGTTTTTCACATACAGTAACAAAACAAATGAACAAAAAAACCAGACAGAGGGCGGTGAGAGTGAGCCGGGGGGTGGGGTGGGGTGGGGAGAATTGTGCAGGCGCCTGCCCTCTGAGCCAGAGTTGCCTGCCTAGCCTCCTGCAGGACCGAGAGGCTGCCCTGAGCTTTCTCTGCCTCCTCGCACAGGGGCAGTCCAGCTCTGTCCTCGGTGCCTGGGATCTGGGGACAGACTGTGGCGGCTGCCAGCGGAGGGGACCAGGGCCAGCTACACCACATGTGAAGTGGAAGTGAGGGATCCCTTGTGTTGAGAGTTTCAAGACGGGGCTGGCGCTGAGGCTCAGCAGGTTAAAGCCGCCGCCTGCAGTGCCTGCATCCCATAGGGGTGCCAGTTCAAGACCTGGCTGCTCCACTTCTGATCCAGCTCTCTGCTATGGCCTGGGAAAGCAGTAGAAGATGGCCCAAGTCCTTGGGCCCCTGAACCTGTGTGGGAGACCCAGAAGAAGCTCCTGGCTCCTGGCTTTGGATCGGCACAGCTCCAGCTGTTGCGGCCAAATGGGGAGTGAACCAACGGATGGAAGACCTCTCTCGCTCGCTCTCTCTCTCTCTCTCTGCCTCTCCTCCTCTCTCTGTGTAACTCTGACTTTCAAATAAATAAATAAGTCTTAAAAGAAAAGCTTCAAGACAGACACCATGGAGCGTTAAGCCAAGCCCCGGGCACTTGTGCAGGTCGCACACTGCGAAGGGGATTCTGGGGATTCAGGGGACAGCACCCCATCGAGTGCCGTGAGGAGGGATGGCAGGAGACTGAGAGAGCGTTTCGTTTCTTTAAGTGTGCCATACAGAACAGAGCCCACGTCACAGGCGCACAGCCCCGTGAACGTCACAGATGCAGCAGCACCCTTGTAACCACCCCCAGACTGGGAAGCAAAGCTTTCCCAGCACCCCAGAATCCCCCGTGTGCCCCCCACACCTAATGTTCTAGGTGTATTTATCTATTTGAAAGGCAGAGTGACAGAGAGAGAGAGACACTCAGACAAACGGAGATCTTCCATCCACTGTTTCCCTCCCAAAATGTCCCCAGCAGCGGGGCAAGACCAGGCCAGAGCCGGGAGCCAGGAGTTCCATCCGGGTCCCCCACATGAGCAGCAGGGACTCAAGTACTCACTGCCTCCCAGGGCGTGCATTAGCAGGAAACTGGGTCCCAATCAGAGACAAGATTGATCCAGGGCACTCTGATAGGGGATGCCTGTGGGATCTGGGGACAGACTGGTTTATCTTGCTGCACCACAGTGCCCCCCACCCCTGCTCCCACCCCTGCCAGCTGAGCTGCACTCTGCTTTTTTTTTTTTTTTTTTGACAGGCAGAGTTAGACAGTGAGAGAGAGAGAGAGAGAGAGAGAGAGAAAGGTCTTCCCTCCGCTGGTTCCCCCCAAATGTCCACTACGGCCTGTGTGCTGCGCTGATCCGAAGCCAGGAGCCAGGTGCCTCCTCCTGGTCTCCCATGCGGGTGCAGGGCCCAAGCACTTGGGCCATCCTCCACTGCACTCCCAAGCCACAGCAGAGAGCTGGACTGGAAGAGGAGCAACTGGGACAGAATCCAGCACCCCAACCGGGACTAGAACCCGGGGTGCCGGCACCGCAGGTGGAGGATTAGCCTAGTGAGCTGCGGCGCTGGCCGCACTCTGCTTATTTTTAGCACTGTGTAAATAGGCACGGGACTGTGCACTTTCTCTCCCACCCGGCTTCTTTCACTCGACTCTGAGCTGGTGAGATTCACCCGTCTGCTGTCTGTGGCTGGAGCTCTCCCTCTGAGAGTGACAATGTCAGATGTCACTGTGAGAGGGCTTCCATCCACCGGCTTAGCAATTAGTCAGTAAGAACCCCAATGCCCAGGAGCAGGGGAATGGCTAGCTGAGAGGTGGGCTAGACACAAATCGAGACAAATCGAGGCTGTTCTCTCCCGTTTACCTTCCAGTGTGGCCTGGGAGTGCCACACAGGGCACAGGAGATAAACCTGCAATTAGCGGGTGGGCGGGCGAGCAGCTCCTGCCCCTGGGATGGCGTCAGGCGGTTCTGAGCAACAGCTCTAAGCATTTCCACGAGGGACGTACAAATCTCCCGGATGGCGGAACCCTGCTTCCCAGAAGTCTGCCTGCATCCGTGCAGCAGACTTTGCCCTGGGACTCCCCGGGGTACAGAGCCAAGTGCAGAGCTGTGAGCAAGCTCTCCTCTCCGGAGCCATACCCCTGCCTGGAGTCTGCCCCCACCTGGGTGTGAGCCCCCAGCCCACCCAGCTCCCTGGGACACCTTGCCTGCTCCGGCCTCAGGGACACCGGAGGACCACAACCACACGCCGCCTCCAGCCCCGTCAGGATGGAGGACAAAGCTCTGTTGAGGGCCGGCGCCGTGGCTCAATAGGCTAATCCTCCACCTTGCGGCGCCGGCACACCGGGTTCTAGTCCCGGTCGGGGCGCCGGATTCTGTCCCGGTTGCCCCTCTTCCAGGCCAGCTCTCTGCTATGGCCAGGGAGTGCAGTGGAGGATGGCCCAGGTGCTTGGGCCCTGCACCCCATGGGAGACCAGGAAAAGCACCTGGATCCTGGCTCCTGCCATTGGATCAGTGCGGTGCGCCGGCTGCAGCGGCGGCCATTGGAGGGTGAACCAACGGCAAAGGAAGACCTTTCTCTCTGTCTCTCTCTCTCACTGTCCACTCTGCCTGTCCAAAAAAAAAAAAAAAAAAAAAAAAAAGCTCTGTTGGGTGGAAGGACTGGGTTAGGGCTTGTGTTTGCTACCCCGACACTCAGTTTTCACAGCCGTATAATGGGAATAAATGGTACCAGCTGTGCAGGACTGCTGGGAAACTGCAGAGAGGGGATTGGCGTGGGCACTAGCAGACCCCTGGGTGGGGGCAGCCCTCGCTGTCGAGGTGCCCACAGTGAGACCTCCCCTGTGAGTCAGGGTCCTCAGCCGGAGGAACTCCCCCAGCTTTTCTTCCCTGCACCCCCAAGGGGACGTGGGGTCCTAACTGGTCTTTCATACCTCCTACCAGCAAACAAAGCCAGTGTTTTCTTTGGACCAGATAGATATTTGTAGGCGGGCAGAGGGTGGAGGGCCGTGCTAGGCATTGTGGGGTGTCTATCAGCAAACCGGGCCTCTAACTGCTGGGTGACAGTACCAGGAGTGAAAGCAGAGATGTTCCCAGGCATTGTCAACTGTCCAGCCCGGTCATGCGGCCACAGGTGGCTCCAGGCTTGGTGCAGCAGCCCGGTGATGTCCTGATGCTCTTTCCTCCTGATCACAAGGTGGCTGCCACTTATCCCACTATGCCGCCATTGCAATCCCATTCAAATGCAGAGGAGAGGGAGAAAGTGATGGTGTCACTTGTGCCTTAGGGGCCCAAACATGCAGCCCCAGATGAAAGGGAGCCTGGAAAGTCAGTGGCAGTGGAGAAGGGGACTGGAATGGAGTGCCCCCCTCCCCCAGGACCTGACATGGCAGTGCTGGCCCTCCTCATCCTTAGGGGAATCTCTCCTTTCAACTTATTTGTTTGAAAGGCACAGTTACAGAGAGACAGAGAAAGAAACAGAGAGAGAGAGACACACAGAGCAGGATCTTCCATGCGCTGGTTC